GTAGAATGTTGACGTCTAGAAAACGACCGAATTCGTTGTCAACAACCTTAACTACATCCTTTGTCTTTATTTAGAGTAAAACTCAAGTCGGTTGCTACTGTGTAACTTTTTCTGAGAGGTATAGAATGAATTATTTTGTTGGAGAGTCTCTTGCGACCCGTTAAGTAAATAATATGATTGAAAATAGTCACATACGATTCTATAGATTAAGATCATGAGTAACATGTTGTCCTATTCACAGTTAAAGAGATGACTGACAATCAGTGAGTTTGGAACTGTTATCGTCTTGCATCGGTGTTAATAGTACCTTCTACGCTGCAGTTAATCAAGTTTTAACCCAATAATCATTTTTTTGTTTTGTTTCCTACCAACGCAGTCCCATTTGTTGAACTTCTTGTTCGAGAAATACACCGGTCGACCTGACTGATGTGTCTAGCCGTACCACGTTGAGCAGACGCTTGATTAGTTGGGTGGAGTTCGAAATAGAGTTGAATAAATTCCAGCAAGTAGGAGAAACTTATTCCTAAATATAGGAAACTGCTTGTTAAGTGACACAAGGTTTAAGCATACGTTTGTTGTTTTCAAGTGTACTTCCACAAGGTTTAGGAATAATTAATAAACCTTGAGGACTGCAAATCTAAAGTGAAATTTCAAGCCCAAGTTTCTGAATTGCCAGTCAATGTTCCGTATATTTCTACAGCTGGAACAGTACGTGATAAAGTCATGCCGGATGATACATAATCATCCTCATGAAAATTCATGGATGATCTGCGACCTATGGACCGGGTGATTGGCTTCAGAGGATGAGGAAAATCTGATGCCAGTACTAATCCAATCACCATCTTTCGATCAAGTGGTCGAATGTATTAGAAAACCGACTAACCATGAAGTCAAGACAATAAAAGCAAAAATATCCACAAGTAAGTATGTACTCTTATGTTCCCAGGCTGAGGTACTCGATTGTAGGTTTTCAGCTTCCCAAGACAATGAGGTGAAATAAGAGAATTTTCTTCCGGAGTCGAACATGGAACTAGAAACTGCTTTAGTAGCTACGATTAGAGCTCATTCTGCAGACAATATCCAGAAGTTATTGGTATGAAGTTTACTTACAATACCAACAGCAAGAAGTGAGTATGCTGTTTGATAATTTTTACTTTGTAGGTATTCGTTGTTTCGGTTAATGATAACTGATAACTTCGGTCGCAGTTGTCCTATTTTATTTACATGAATACAGATGGAAAGGAGAGTCAATAAGATCTGGATATTAGATCGGTTTACCGAAACAATGGGTGGCACGTCTAGGACAGAGATGTTGGTCACGGATTGTGAGTAGGCTGAGATTGCCGCAGTCCGAAACGTCCACCGACAAGTCAACATAATCCTATGACTCTTTCACGTTTTCCGTCGTTTTTATAAAAAGTTAAGTGGATGCGGGTCAATAGCATTGTGCTTAGTTAAGCTAGCAATAATATTTTAAGGGCCTATCTTTGTCTCTTAGTTAGGGCGGAGACTGTTGAACGATTATGCTTACAATACAATCATTCTTTAGAATTAATCAATATTTTAGACTTATCACTTGTGAATTGAGGCGGTATCTGAGTTGTTTATGGCTTAACAGGAAGGCTATGTGGGCCACAGCTTTCAATGGCCACATACTAACATTGTAAAACATTAAGAATAACCGTGTTGAATCACTGAACTAACATTCAAAGAGGTATTGCAATGAAGTAGAACCTTTATGAACCATAAACTGAATACTTCATTTGCAAATTTCCATCATTTGTCCTTCACATTCAGTATTATTGTTTCTATTCATAATTCCTTTTTATTTCCTCTTCTATTTTCTTCAACTCGATCTTCCTAGCCTTCTGCTATCAGGCATCCCACTTTCTATTATTGATACATACTACTTATATTTGCCGACATCAGTAGCACATACTACATAATGACTTCTTGATGTTTATTCCACATAAACAATATTGATTAGTGTACAGATTTCTGGACAATTATACTGTGTCCATAGTTATGTAAAGTTAATGTATTTTTACAAATAAGTAATCAGTAAATCATGAAAAGAAAAAAGTGAGAGAAAGATAATGTGAAAGAAAAAAACGCATAACAACAGAAAAATAATTAACGAGAAAAATTATTATTCTTATGTTACGTTAAAGTTTTACAATAAATGGCTCTCAAATGCCCTGGTACGGCCAAGACTGAGGAGAGTCCGCTCGCGTTCTTGAAATGCTCTCACATGACCACACGTATATAGCCTCTTCCACGGAAGTCCTACTCACTGCCCTCTCGTGGCGGGGGTGTTATTGACGAAATTGAGAGGACGAAAAGCGAATGCTCGGCGCTTTAACCGGGTTGATGGACACGGTGAGTCCTCCTAGGGGAGTTGGAAAACCCTGATTGCAAACCAATGGTTCACGTGAGCTCCGGTACCCTAAGGGAACAAATGTTATTTATTTATTTTAACACAAAGGTATAGGTACAATGAGGCACCAAATACATATGCGCCACACGAATCTCAATTGATTTGTGTGAGGGCTGTGATACTGCCCGTGTGACCAAACCGAAACAGGTGGTTTTCTTAGGGGGCCACACCCCGAGCCTTCGACCTGAACGTCTGACCCACAAGGCAGTGGAGCATCGTGAGGAGATGCAGTCCCATGGTAGCCGGTGACCAACGATTGGTTCATACGCCATTTGTTCCTTCAGGATACTGGAGCCTGTCCATGTGCACCATTGGTTTGGGGTCCGGTTAAAGCGCCGGACATTCGCTTTTCGTCCTCTCAATTTCGTAAACAACACGCCCGCCACGAGAAGACAGTGAGTAGGACTTTCCTGGCAGAGGCTATATACGCGTGGCCATGTGAGAGCATTTCGAGAGGGAAAGCGGACTCTCCCCACTCTCGGCCGTACCAGGGCATTTGGGGGCAAGGGAACAAATGTTGTATGAACCAATAGTTGGTCACTAGCTACTATAGGACTGCATCTCCTTATGATGCTCTACTGCCTTATGGATCAAACCTTTAGGTCGGGTGCTTTGGGTGTGGCCCTCTAAGAACACCACCTGCTTCGTTTTGGGCACCCAGGCAGTATCACAGCCCTCATACAAATCTCATTTGATTTGTGTGGCGCATATGTATCTGGTGCCCCCTTGTACCAGTATTTATGTGTTCAAATAAATAAATAAATAAATATTACATTAAATGAGTTTATTTTCTTGTTTTCTATAGTTTTTATTGACGTCGTTATTTGATAAAACTATGTGAAGAACTTTAATGATGTAATTATTCTTTGTTTGGTAACAATCAGATGATGGGTGATTAAAGAACTTTACTAATTAATCACCAGGGCATTCATACATAGCCTAGGTGGATTGCCTTGATTGTATATTCTATTTACAAATTAACAGGAAATACTCACGACACTAAAAGTTACAAGATATTCGACAGGTTTCAATAAATATTGGTAAGAAGCCAAAGAAAATAAAATAAAATAAAATGAACATCCTCAACAGGAACTCTGTGCAATCAGAGTATAAAGAACTAAGTAGCTATAACTATATCTCATTTAATAGGAATAAGAACTAGTTAATCCTAAGATGAACTACTATCGTATTTAATTTTATAATTCTTTTCCTTGACTATCTATCACCATTTACTTTTAAACTGCCGAAAATCTTGCAACCTTTTAGTACCATCAACTGATTGATAAAAAACTACATTTATGAAGGGTTATTACTCTGTTTTAAATTGTATTTATCATAGAAACATTTGCAGTGTATTTGATGACTCATTTGAAACGAATTTGTAATGTTTATAGAAAGTTTTCATTCGTAAAATATATCAGTTACCTATTTTAATAAAAAATACTAATCAATTATGAAAGTTATTACGTAACAGTTTATTAACTTATTGAACACATGAATCTATGTAAATTAACTAAACCAAAAGGTAGAACAGTTGAATGTATACAAGGTAATTAATTTTCAGATTGAGTTCATGAACCGATTGATGTTAGACCACCGTTGGAAACCTGGAAGCACTGGAATGTCATTTCGTTCTATTGTGGGACTCCTCAGCAGTGCACAACCACGACCCCGCCTCACGGAATTTGAGCCCAGGGTCTTCATTCTCGTACGCGAACGCTTAACCTACTGAACCACTTAGCCGGCATCCAGCAGTGCTGGTGTCTAACCTCAACCAATCTACGAAATTTTGCAACCATCTTCCATTGTTCTGAGATAGATACCAGCCTCTACCCGACACGGATTAGCTCCACTGGTCAGGGCTTCTCATCAGAACTCCGAGAATTCCCTCACAAGCGGGATCGTGGATGCGCTTTGCTGAGGAGTCCCACAATGGAAGGAAACGGCCGTCCAATGCTTCCAGTTTTTCAATGGTGGTTTAACATCAATAAGTTCATGATCTCAATCTAAAACTTAATAATCTCCACATTCCCTATACTGAAGGTTATTCATGATTTTACATATGGGCTATAGAATATCAATTTTATTTGTTGTGAATTCATTTACAGTACGAAAGTAAAACAAGTCACTGTTGATATTAGTGTATCAGTGAACTGAATTCCTTATCTATTTTTTCTTACTACTTATATACGGTTAATCAACCTTAATGAATGATTAAAATATCTAGCTAAACTTCCTGTTAGTCGAATATAATAGGAACGTCTTATTCCAATATAATACCATGGATTAATTGTCTATAAGTAATATGCATTTTAATACTCAAGAAGCTTAAATATCATTTTAGATCATAGATACAACACTGCATTTTAATAATATTCACATTGTTGTTATTGAATCAATATACACAATGCAAACTATGAGGTATTTACAAGAACCTTATGGTATGTAACAAAAAGGGAACACAACTCATATCCATATTTTGTATAGTTGTTGTGCATGTATTCTGATGAATACATTTAACCTAACTAATTTATTACTACTAGTTTCAATCAGCTACAAGGCTGATGGGAAAATAAGTGGGCGGTTAATTATAACAAAAGTAAACCCTTATATTACCATACATAACCTGCCTTTCGTCCTGCTTTTCCTTGAACTAATATATTATCACAGGCAAATACCTATTATTTTGTTTGAATGTATGGACCTTACCTAAAAAAAGATCAACTAGCTATATTTCCCTACTAAACATCATTGATTTATTATAAGGTGCATCTTATTTGTGATTGGTTGATTCAAATCAATAATACACTGTGCTGAATTCTAACCAATAGGATTTGTGCTAAAATTCCCATATATATATATAATAATAATACAATTGCCTGAATTATACCCTGACATATTATTGTCGTTTCATCATATTTATTCGTACTTTGTTAACAATAATAAACTACCGCTTTATATTTTCGTCATATCTATATCATTCAAAAGGAAATTTATATACAATTAATTGAATATTTACAAGTAAGTCTTATCGAATTCATTGAAATTATTCTAGGAATGGAATACTACTTATAAGGTATAAACTGATATTTTTTTTAATAGATGAGATCACGAGTCAATTAATGCTAGACCAGCATGGAAAACCTGTAAGAACTAGATGACCGTTTCGTCCTATTGTAAGACTCTTCAACAGTGTTCATCCATGATTCATGATCTCATCTATTAAAATGACTATAATATCCACAAAACCTCTCCCGAGAATATATGTTTATTTAACTACTTTCTATTTTATTTAATAGATAATATACAGTGATTAAATAATGGATCCATCAGATCCAGATTTCAAATATTTGGGTGTAGATCGAAAAGCTTTATTAAAAGAATTGGCTAATTTTGATAGCAAAAATGTTATATGGGTTGAAGATGAAAAAGAAGGTTATGTATTAGCTGATATTAAAGATACAACTGGTGATACAATTACAGTAGCACTTAAAGATGGAAGCGTAAGTACAGAAAAAAAATTTTTTTTTTGTATTTTAGTCATACTAATTATTATAATTAACTATTTATTATATACACTTCATTATAAATAAACTATACTTCTAGTAATAAGCTTGTGTTAATCGAATGTATGAGTATAAGATGAGGTTAATCAGGTTAGTTAAACGAGTGAACTACCTCAGTTGTACGAATACATAACAAAAGTTTATTTGATCTTGTACTGGTATAGCCATCTTATAGCATTTAGATCAGTTGCATTATGATTTTTTCTCATCTATGGTTATAGCACTTTACTACTTATAATTATATAGTAGTAAATATTATCATCTAGAATTTAAGCGGATTTTTGACATACTTTACATAGAGACCGTCTATAGTTTGTCATTATCGATAAGTTAATCACATACTTTAGTTAAACATCAGTTAGTAGTATAATGATAATTGAAATCTCATTAGCCGATATTTATTTATTTATTGTTATTATTAACTTTATTCACTATAATAATTTTGGTACAATATAGAATTCTCAGCATAAAGTATTTCAACAAGTTTCCTTTTCTTATTTCTTGATCGATCTTTGAGATAAATATTGAGTGGTCGCCAGTTAGATGTTAGCATTTCAGTCAATCAACATCTGAATAATCTATATTTTTTCAGTACATATTGCTAGATATCACGATGTTTCTGATTGGGCTCTTTGATAACTTGTACAGTGGAAGGTTGTAAACTTTTCATAAACGCACCTTAAGAGATTATGAGACTGATAGGCATAATGATCTGTTAAAACAAACAACAAAACAGTTAACCTATTGAAATATCCAGATGGTAAGAACAGGTAACCCAGATATTAAAGAAGACCACCTTCTTGTTGTTACAATGGATATTAAATGATTTCATTGATGTTATTTATCATTTATTTTTAACAGGAAAAGAAAGTTAAAAAAGATGATGCACAACAAGTTAATCCACCGAAATTCTTTTTAATTGAAGATATGGCTAATTTGACACATTTGAATGATGCTTCTGTTTTGGAAAATTTACGTGCACGTTATTACAGACAATTGATTTATGTAAGTTTCATCTGATTGTTATTGGTTAATAATTTTTGTATTTTATAATTACGTAATAGAAAATTCATATAATGTAAACTGATTTCAAGCTTAACAATGAATGTGACATATAAGCCTTAGTAATTTATTAGGTTATAATTTACTGGTATATATATATATATATATATATATATATATATATATATATATATATATATATATATATATATATAATAGTTTCCATTATTATCGAAAGAAGTGATATATGTATATATTTGATATTCGTGGAGAGTTTTGTCGTCTTTCTATTATAAAGGGTGAACCAAAGAAGTAAATTCCTATAAACAATTAGATTTTACGGAGTATATATTTCTTACATAATTTGTAAAGTGATTGCCACGAAAAAATGTTTTGATTTGATTTCAACTACATCTTGACAAATAATATGCTTTCAAATGTATGTAATTTAGTAATCCGTATCCCTAATGCCCTGGTATGGCCGAGGGTGGGGAGAGTCAGCTCTTCCTCTCCAAATGCTCTCACATATCCACGCGTATATAGCCTCTGCATGGGAAATTCTACTCACTGCCTTCTCGAGGTAGGGGTGTGGTTTACGAAATTGAGAGGACGAAAAGTGAATGTTCGGCGCTTTAACCGGGTTGGTGGATACGGTGAGCCCACTTAGGGGATTTGGAAAACCCTGATTCCGAACCAATGGTGCACATGGGTTCCCAGATCCTGAGGACACAAATGACATATGAACCTATTGTTGGTCACCAGCTACCATGGGACTGAGTCTCCTGACGTTGCTCCACTCCCTTGTAGGTCAAACCCTTAGGTTGAAGGCTCCGCGTGTGGCATCCTAAGAAAACCACCTGCTACGGTTTGGGCACATAGGAAGTATCACAGTCCACACACAAATCAATTGGCTTATAAGGCGCATATGTATTCGGTGCCTCCTTGTACCATTATCTATGTGTTCAAATAAATAAGTAAATAAATCTGTTATTTATATTGTTATAATCTGTGTTCTATTAATGTAGAACATAATGATACCACCAAATAGAGAACGGTAATTTATTAACCTGTCAAATGAGACATAGAACCAGTACGAGCAGTCTAGAGTCTTTACTGGTCCTGCTTCCTGCCTAGTCTCACCTTTTAAGTTCAGAATAACAATTTGAGCCTCTGCATTATAAATAATTTATTTCAAACATACTCGGTTTATATACTAATCAAACAGACTACATCGTACCATAAAATAGGAAACAATATTTGTACAAGAATTAACCAAGGTGCTCTTGTCACCTTCATGTCGTATTTCCAACTTGGGAAATATCTAAAATGCTATTGGTCTGTTGCGTCTCTTATTATGCTATTTGGTAACTCTCTCCAAGAACGGTTTTGTACTGCATATATACGTTTTGATTTGTGTTTGTTGTGATCGCTTGTGCTTCTGGCTTTTGTGGAATATAATTCCTCATTCCAAGCTTGAACTACTTCCTCTAGTTAGCGGATCTGGCATGCATCAGAATATCTAGCTTATTGATCTTTGGTCACCAAGTCTTGTTCCGTTCACAGACTAAGTGAACTGTTAACTGCTTCAAACCTAGTAAAATCGTTACAATAAAGTTTATGTCATCTTTTTACATTTTACTAGTCAAAACTATTTATTTAACTTTAAATATTTCATTTTTAGACTTATTCTGGATTATTTTGTGTAGCAGTTAATCCTTATAAACGTTTTCCAATTTATACTGAACAAGTTGCATTAAAATATAAAGGAAAAAGACGAGGTGAAATGCCACCACATATTTTTTCAATTTCTGATAATGCTTATCATAATATGTTACAAGGTGAGTTACTATTTTTTTTTGTTCTTTTCTAATTAATTTGTTATATATTCTATTCGTTTATTATTTTTTCTTTACCCCCTCCCTACCATTTGATTTTATTTTTCTCTTAAATATACGTTTTACGGTTCAATTATCTGAACACTTTTTATTACGTCATCTTATAATTTTATAAATCTTATCTCACTGTCTACATTTTTCTAATCATTAACCTATTTCCGATTATGTAACATTGATTTGAGCCTTTATTATTCTTATTAAAACTAGTACACCTGTCATCACACTATCAACTTGTACTTTTCACTTATTATGTAATCATTTTCATTATTATCATTGACTTATAAACTACCTTGATTGGTTTAATAATTTCTTATATTAGAAGGGGTTTTGTTGAGATTGTAGTAATTTCAACAGTTGAAATCATTAGTCAATCGAAGTTAGACCTCCACGGAGAACCTGGAAGCACTGGAAAGCCGTTTCATCCTAGTATGGGACTCCTCAGCAGTGCGCATCCACGACCGCCCCGCTGGATTCGAACCCAAGACCTATATGTCTTGCACCTGACGCTTAACCGACTAAACCACTGAGCTGGCATCCGATGGTGTTAATGTCGAACGTCAACTAATCCACGAAATTTAGCGACACATCCACCATTGTCATCAGTGAGTTACTATCGCACAACTGACCCGGTTGAACTCCACTGGATAGGCACTGGTGAGAAGTCCCACAATAGGACGAAACGGCCGTCCAGTGCTTCCAGGTTTGCAATGGTGGTCTAGTTTCAATTAACTCATGATCTGAACTGTTGAAATTTTGTAAATGCATATAAATATTACTGTATATTAGAGTAAAGCCTGATGAGGATCTAATGGAAAACAATATTGTTCGCTTATATATGTTAGAAATTTACAATATGGGAATATTTCACATTATATAAGTTTCGATAATGTAATAAGAAGACGGAGATTATCAAAACTATGTGATATATTAGCGCAATACATTTCGAACAATCTGATCACACATTATATACTTGTTAAGAGCATTTATATATAAAAATAAAAGGTCAACTAGACTGGAAATGGGGTAAGAGGAGATAAGGATAATAATAAGAGTAATAATAATAACAATGATAATAATAATATTAATAATAATCTGAACACAATTCAAAACCTAATCACTCTGGATAATAAGTCAATATTACCAGGGTAGGTTTAAGGTAAGAACAAACTCTTTTTGAATACACAAAGGGGGTTTGAATTTTCGTATGGCTAAGGCTTCAATAAACCTTAGTATACGCCCTTTTACACTTTTATATAATACCACAAAAGCCGAGTTTAGATCAATCTTGTGCCCTGTTTCAATTATATGTTTAGCAATAGAGGATGATGGATGTTTATCCTCTGCTCTTATTGAGTCACTTGATTGTATTCGTTTCTGCTCTTTAACAAGTATATGTGTGATCAGATTGTTCGAAATGTATTGCGCTAATATATCACATAGTTTTGATAATCTCCGTCTTCTTATTACATTATCGAAATTTATAAAAGGGACTAATTGTTTTAAATTGTTTTACATTATATAAGTGTCAATCTTATTTAAATGAAGGTGTTTTCATATAATTTACCCATTTTGACAGCTTATTCAATGTTTTTTTTCTGAGAAAAAAAGATCATTGTATTTTTATTGATTTATTTCAATTTACTTTCAACAGATCGTGAAAATCAATCCATTCTGATTACGTAAGTTTCTTATTTTTAATATATTTTAACATAAATGTAATTATTGTTAACTTTACACAAAATTTACCTGTGATAACATATTTGTATTTTAAATTAAATTTGTTTCGTATCAAAAAAGGGTTTTGTGGAGATAGTTGGGACTGATAGATCCTGGATTCAAATCTCACGAGGTGGGGTTATGGATACGCACTACTGAGGAGTTCTACAATAGAATGAAATGGCAGTCCAATGCTTTCAGGTTCTCCATGATGGTCTAGTTTCAATTGACTCATGATCTTAACTATTAAAATTTGTTTTATTTCTTGATACCTTCACTGGATTGATTGTTGGATTATAATGTTAGATAGTTAAAGGGAATTGTAGCAGAATGTATTGGATTCAGTAAGAAACAGGAGAGCTACACCCAGTGTTGTTGTTAGAAACATCTATTGATAGAATGTTCATCACTAAAGGACTAGACAAATATAACACTAATTATTACTCAGTAATAGATCAGTTTTAAGTCGTAGAGGTGGTTAGTTATGACCTGAATGACAGAGAATAAAGCGTAGTCAAATTTGTGAACAAAACTATTTATAAATATTGTTAGTTAAGCAAAGATAGATATAGATGAAGTATAGATAAACTATATGTTCTCGAAGATAATGATAATTGTACTTGAGGATTTCGTATTTCCAAAAGACAGAACTTAGGTAATGTGCACCCACAACCCAACATATGATAGGACGTAGGACTTTCAAACATTGACGCCTGAACCACTTTCTACTCAAATCAGTATATTGCATAACACGATCCTCTATAACCTCGTGACTTCAAACTTGAAATGGCTAATAAAAGTCAATCTAATCAATCGATATAGCAAATATAGTTGTGTAAGTGTACTGCAGTGTGAACAATAATGGTTGATACCAACTTAAAAGAAAATGATCAAGTCAGTCTCTAAATTGAGAATCTAAACTATTTCAATTTATAATTTCATACTTTTTTCAAAATAATAAAGCTAATTCATTTTGGTCAACAGAAATCTGATTATAAGTAATGATGGGTAGTGGCTGACAGTGGAATCCAGGACGCGCGTTTCGTCCTACTTGGGACTCGTCAGCTGGATGTACCTGCAGGTACACTGCTAGCCACTATCCATCTCTGCTTAAAAGCTTATGACTTAAGGCTATATCGAGGCCATTCGTACAGGATGCACATATACCAACATGAGACTAATCAATTGCAGTCCCAAATAACAATGGGAAGATATAAGTAAAACAACACTAAGTGAATAGATTTCTGATTATTTTTACGTATTCACACGTACACACATATATATGTAACATGTAAATTTGGCGAAATTGCCTATTACACTACAAAATAGTTATCATCAAATGCTTAAAATCAATTTCATACTTTCCATATACAAGGTATATTTATCTTTTTTTTATTAAACAGAGGTGAAAGTGGTGCCGGAAAAACAGAAAATACAAAGAAAGTTATTTCATATTTTGCTGTTGTCGCAGCAGCTTCAAAGAAAGATGATGATGATTCTAGTAAAAAGGTTTGTATTTACTTTAAAATGATGAAAAACAATAAACAAACATTATTTCACCATCTTATTATATGAAAACACTTAGTGTTCTAAATTAACTCATCTATTTCAGGGTGTACAACAATAATAAAAATATGGTTCTATGTATTTAAGAAACACTTTGTCATTATCATTCTGAGCAATATCATCAGTATCTATTGAGCTGTGAAATAGCAACATTAAACAACTTTGTGATCATTACAAAATTATGGACGTGACTATAATTTATGGACGAACCAATAAGATTTACGATAACAGATCTTGGATTTCGGAGCGAAATTCACTCATCTATTTGGCTAAATAGTTTTGGCATTTTAGTTGATGTTAGTGTGTGATGAAACCATTAAATCTAATCCATATCTCTAACCATCAAATATAAATCAAAATCCTTATCGTTCATACAGGTTTAAAACCCTCATTTAACCCCAGTCAGTAGGTGGACATTCTCAAGGCAATTTCAGCGTCGCTCAAAGGTCTTTCATAAATTATAGTCTCACCGGTTTTAGATTTAGACCACTCCAAGAAGCTTGAACCAAGAACAACTAAAAATGTTGGTAATATAATCGAATCTTCAAATCAAGTTTATATGTTTATATAGTTACAATCTTCTTTGAAGTTAATAAATCTGATTAGTGAGATTAAGATTTTTCTAAAACAAAATGTACTAACTAGATAGACATATTATGAGTGTTATGCAAAATTTTTTTATTTATTGTAAGTCCAGCTTACATTGTCACTAGTTATTTATTTATCATCAGAAAGGAGATTTTGTGTAGATTGTAGTAATTTAATAGTTGAATTCATAAGTCAATTAAAGTTAAACCATCATAGAAAATTTGGAAGCACTAGATGGCTTTTTTGTTTTAGTATGAAACTCCTTAGCAGTGCTCATTCACGATTCCACATGTGGGACTCGGACCCAGGACCTTTGGTCTCATGCGCAAACGCTTAACCTCTAAACTATTGAATTAAATCCATACATTAAATAATTCGTTTATTCATAATACTTAATTAGATTAATTTTTTTAATTTACTATATAAATATAAACATGTGTAAAGGCATTTTAAGAGGGGAATTAAAAAACCGAAAAAGTGAAGCTGTAATGCCTAAACCTTTCTATGTTGTATATATATTAGTGTTCAATAAACTCATAAAATAAACTACTTATTAATGATATAATATTGAAAAAAGCTTACATAAATCTAAGATCATTTGAAGATATATAGAAGACGACAGAGGATATGATTGTAATTTAATGATTGATAAGATGGATTACAGAATAATCATAGAAGATCTTATAAATTTACAAAACTTTAGAAAATTGAGTAAATGAAATTCACAGATGAACGAAGTGATAATTTTAAGCCAAATAAACCAATGATTAGTTGACCGAAAATAGTATAATAGATGTTTACAGTAATAATAGTAATAATAATAATAATAATAAATAACAATAATAAGTTGGTAATTGTCTCTTCCAAGTACTTAGAAAATTCTATAATTTATCTTAGTTAGATAACCACTGACGACAATATGGAAGTACTGAATAGATATTTCTTCATTGAAGTTGAAAATGTAAAGCACTGGTTAATAACTTAATGACTTAATGGTTAAGTGTTAGCCATGAGATCTGAATATCTTGGGTTCAGTCCTCTATCGTAGAGTCGTGAATGAATAATGGTAAGAAGTTCCCAATTACAACAAAATAGCTATCCGATATTTTCTAGGTTTAAATCGTTACCTAACTAAGATCAGTTCTTGATGTAAACTATGAAATTCAACAGTCATCAAAAACTCCTTACATTAATTCAAGAAATCATTTGAAAGCCAATAAAAGTAAGTTGATGCATAGCTTATATAACTAGATCTTTATTTCGCTATGAATATCTATTTATCATTTAACAATATTTTGTTCTTTATTAAAATCAAATTGAAATATTCTTTACTTTGTTCTTTAATTAGGGAACACTTGAAGATCAAATTGTTCAAGCTAATCCAGTTCTAGAAGCATATGGTAATGCAAAGACTACAAGAAATAATAATTCATCCAGATTTGTAAGTTATTATAAATTTTTGAAAGGATAAATTCTATTTTCTTTTTTCTTTCTTTCCAAATTAGGGAAAATTCATTCGTATTCACTTTGGTACAACTGGTAAAATCGCTGGAGCCGATATTGAACATTGTAAGTTGTGAATTTAACAACAACAAAAAATATGATTTCAATAAGTGAGATCATGAGTCAATGAAAGCTAGGCCACCACGGAGAACTTGGAAGCACTGGACAGCCGTTTCGTTCATTTGTGAGACTCTACAGCAGTGCACATCTACGATCCCGCCGCTTGGGATTCTAATCCAGGACCCATCAGTCTCACGCGCGAGCGCTTAACCACTAGACCACTGAGCCGACATCTAACGGTGTTAATGTTTAAATTCAACTAATCCACGAAACTGAGTTACACATGCACCATTGTCATCAGTGAGTTAATATCTGGCAACTGACCCGGTTGAATTCCACTGGTCACTGCTTCTCACTAGAACTCCAGGATATACATCTTGAGGTCAGTCACTAGTGAGCATATGTTGATTAATATCAGAAGAAGTATCACAATAGGACGAAACGATTGTCCAATGCTTCCAGGTTTTCCATGGTGGTCTAGCTTTGATTGACTCGTGATCTCAACTACTGAAATTACTATAATATCCACAAAACCCATTCTGATATAAAAAAATAATTCTATAACTAATCAATTCTTCTTCTTTTCTAAAAGATTTACTTGAGAAATCTCGTGTTGTTTCACAAATGAAAGGAGAACGTAATTATCATATTTTCTATCAGTTATTATCAACTTATGGTTCAAAATATCATGGTAAGTTCTTCTTTCTTCTTTGGAATATATCGATAAAATATTTGTGAGTTTTATTATTTTTATTTTGGAACATTTCAAGGAATAATAGCTTAGTTATTGAACGATTTGTAACACGAACTTATCTTAGTTAAATAATCATTGGAAACTAGGAGTCAGTCAGTCAGTTGGCTACAACGTAGGCCCAGGCACATATATGCATCGGTCGAAGTTTCCATACAGCATTAGCACAACGAGATAAACACCGGATTCGTGGAAGTAGTTAATCCAGTGGTGATAATATATAGAGGAAAGATTGCATATAAGAATATAGTACAGGAAGAAAGAATGAGTTGGTAGAAAGAAAGATATGAAGTGATTTTAATCTCATAGTTCAGGGGATGACAAAGTGTGTATACACCAACGTCATTGTGGTCGATTCTGAGCCATGTCACCCAGAGTCTCCAACCATTGGTTACGATAGTCACGCGGACCCCAACCAAGTAGTCTGCATCGACCAACATGGCTCAGACCAGAAGTTAGTGTCTTCAAGCACTGATGCCACGTTTTGGTTTGGCCGCCCCTAACTTTCTTCCAATCATCTCCAACACCGGTTAGCATTGCAAACTAGGAAGGTTTGGTCAGGTGTTTTGTTCTCGTATTGAAGCCATCCATGATTCCATCACAGAGGATAAAGTTTAGGAACTTTAGGTATTACAGATAAGGTTTGACTTTTAAACCACTGAGTTGATATCTAATGGTTAATTATTATGATTTTTACATTTGTTTTTCAGACAAATTATTAGTTCAAACTGATCCTGCTTTATACAGTTTCATTAATCAAGGAGAGTTAACTATTGATGGTGTAGATGATAGTGAAGAAATGAAATTGTGCGATGTAAGTTTAACTGAATAGTAATTGTTCGTCTATCAAGTTACTAACTTAAGGCAGATTTTAAATAATTAAAATGATATTTTCTGGTTGGCCCTTTCTAAACAGAACTATTTTCTACACAATGGGGCTATTAACCCAAATCTCAACCCTCCTCCTTTATTTGAGCATGGAATCAGGAGTAATCCTAGATGGTCTGCAGGTGGAGTTTATATCAAGATGACTGCTCTAAATTTATTTACAGTCCTAATAACCTGAAAAAATTCAATGACATAAATTTATTTGAGCTGAAAACCATGATGTAACAATAGATTGTTCTCTTATTCGTCTCCAAATTTCGTATAAATAACTATGTCCTTTCGCTAACACAAATTTTATGTATCAGAGTAAATGGTACATTTAAAATATGCTATCCTACCGAATTAGTCACGTTTTTAACAGCAATTTTTAAGTTTTGATATAAAATCTAAGAAATAATGACAATTATCTATCACAAAGTGAGTAATTTCTTAGAACAAATACCTTGAAAGAACAAAAAAGAGTCTTGTACTATGATAGATTATGAGTTTAAATCTATTCATTAGCTAATCAATGGTATAAAGCCTCATAGTCATTCCAAGACCATCATGTTTGTTATTCGAGTATAATTTAACAAAATGTTTTTTAGATTAATATTTAGAGAGAAAAGACAACCTTTCGGACTATTAGGTAAAGAATACATTTTCAATGTTTCACATATTATAATGCGTTCAGTTGTCAGAGGAGTATCCACACCCTACTAAGCTTCATAATGTTTTAAAAAAATTCACTTCGGAGATATATTCATACCACCTAAACTAATAGAAAAATATACAGCCTGACTAAAGATCAATGTAGAAGTCAACTATACAGTTAGTTAACAATTCGATTGGTGATTTCATGAAATCAAATTAGGATATTGAAATGGATTACATAGAAGGTTTCTATGTTGTCATTTCAGTTAATTTCAATTATGCTTCTGTAAGATGAATAAGGAATGTTCTGTAAAAATTGTCGTAAATGAGTTGATAGCCCATCGTTAATTACTTTCCATGCTTGTCTTATTCAGCTTTATATACATATGTTTCCTATGAGCTTGCTCAACCTGTTATAAAAATGAGAAAATTAAGAAATGACTAGGAAGTTATAATTGGGAAACACAATTAACTTAATATAGTAGTATAAACACATGGTGTGTTCAAACTCGTCCAGCCTATCATTCTAACTAAAATTTATTTTGATTATTTGAAAAATACATGTATGTTTAACCTTAACCAATCCACGAAATTGAGCGACACATGCGCCATTATCATCAGTGAGTTACTATCTGACAACTGACTTGGTTGAATTCCACTGGTTACTGCTTCGCACTAGAACTTTTATTTTATCACATCCTTCAATTACTACTTACCATTGCCTGTTTTTTTTTTTTGTTCTTAGGAAGCTTTTGAAGTTCTTGGATTTAATGATGATGAAAAATTATCATTATTCAAATGTACTACATCAATTTGTAATATGGGTGAAATGAAATTTAAACAAAGACCAAGAGAAGAACAAGCTGAAGCTGATGGAACTGCTGAAGCGGAAAAAGTTGCATTTCTTTTAGGTGTTAATGCAAAAGATCTATTAACTTCATTTTTAAAACCAAAAGTTAAAGTTGGTACAGAATTTGTAACTAAAGGTCAAAATTTAAATCAAGTTAGTAAATTTTTATTGATGAATAAAAATCCAATATGTAATCATAATAACTAATTATTAATTCATTTGCTTGAATCTTCCTACTGATTTTTAAGACTACAATGGATCAGTCTCTTATTGGTATATGTGCATCATGTGCAGATTGCTTTAATATAGCTTTGGTTCACAAGCATTATAAGCAAAAATGGATGGTAGTTCGTAGTGAAATCGAGGACTTACATTTCGTCCTATTTGGGACTCGTCAGCTGGACGTACCTGAGTTGGTGTTCACAAATGAATATTTACATATACATTTTTATCGCGAAAAGAAATTCAGAAATACAATTACTTAACTGTTTGAATTATTTTTTCTGGTTAGCGTTTTTTGGCGAGTTGGTTTTCTACGCGATTGGGTCGCTAACCACATGTACAACCCTTCTCCTTTATCCTTGCTTAGGACCGGCTGAGGCCTCAGAGGAGCTGCAGGCGGAGTTGATTACTTAATCGTGGCTATCTATTATTAAGTAACGCCTAATGTGTCTTTCATTATACATCGATATTAATTTTGAACCTCTAATTAGTGTCTAAATCGTACTCTGATTTGTATTGATAATAACTGTCTCATATCGTGTGGAATTTTCCTCAAGTTATACGTTTGAAATTCAGTTAGTTGACAGTTTTTCTTTCTGTAAACTCTTAAAATTATTTAATGTTTGTAGGGTTGCGGTTCTCTAAAACATTTTTAACGTTCAATAATTGTGATGTTCCTAATGCTTTCATTCATTTTCCCGTTTATTTAGTAGATGATACATATTAAAGTGAGATTTTAACAACGATTTGATTCCGAGAGGGTGGAGTTATTCGCAAAAATCTTGTGTAACGTGTAGAGCATTCTGTATGTAAGCTTTCGGGCTTGAGATGAAACTGTTACTAAAAACTACATTAGTATACAGTTAAACACCCTAAATGAGGAGTAAAATGACCAAAATTAATGTTTATCAAACGTTAAGTAAACATCAAAAATGTTGCGGATAACGTCAGTCGCTTTTTTATGTCTATTTGATGATAGGTTTCGTCAAAAATTGACAATATTGAAATGATTTCATGGATTTTTCTTTAAGACATGAATAGCAGCCTGTATCGCTAGTGAATCATTATAGTACCTGAGATTCAATTGACTTTGTAGTTTACCGCTACTTCATTTAGAACCTAGCTACTAGTGGGGACACCATAATGTTTAATTAAGTGTTTTAAAGAAATTTGCTCACTTCAACGAGAAACGTTAAGAATGCATGGACCACTGGAGTAAAGATTCGTTGTAAGTTAGGTCTCATCACAAGTGTAAGTTAAAAAGTAAAACCAACTGTATAATATTAGTTGATTAGAGATTGTCGACACGAAACCCTGTAACTAGTTAACGTTAAAACATAGTACATACAATGTCTGTTTTCTCAGACTTGAGATCAAACTACAACTTGATCGATCAAATCATATCCCCATTAAACAAACATGACATTGGACACTACTTACTGACTAGTCAATTTAGATACATAAAATGTCTATAAATGGTTACAACTAATTAATTGGATAAACCTTAGTTTACAATCGACTATATAGTTGCTAAAAATAATTTGAGGAACTGTTTCGTCCTAGTACGAGATTCCTCATCGGACTACTCTTTTACAGTTTTATTTTATTCCTAATAATTATCATTTTATCATATACTCTTTTAATGATATAAATAATAATAAAGACAATAATCAATTTTCAATTTATTTCAATAAAAGGTTACATATGCAGTCAGCGCTTTAGCTAAATCTCTGTATAATCGTATGTTTGGTTGGTTAGTAGCTCGTGTCAATAAAACTTTGGATACAAAAGTCAAACGTCAATTTTTCATTGGTGTACTGGATATTGCAGGTTTTGAGATTTTCACTGTAAGTTTTACTATTATTATTATTACTGTTTGTAAGTCTTATAACTTGTGGCCTGCGCCTTGTTAGTGTACAAAGTGATAATACCGCCAATTAGGGAGCAGTGAATTATCGATCCCACCAATGACACATAAAACCCGGTCTAGAGTTCTTATCGGCCCCGCTTCCTGCCTAGCCCGGCCAGTTAAGTCTAGAACACCAATCTCAGTCTCTTCGATATGAATTACTGATTTCAAACATAGTGGTTTTATGTACCAACCAGACAGACTGCATCGTACCATAAAATAGAAAATAACATTTGTACAAAATTCGGCCAAATGTGGCTGTGAATGTGGGAGGTATTGATTAATAAACAGGACATAATTCAAGAATGGTAAGTCGTATAATAATAGTTCATAGGTCAATATAAAGCTCATGATAAGAGGGACGCAAATATATAAAGCTTAGTTATTTAACAATCATATGATAAAAATATACGCATAGTATTAGTACATAAATGGATCCCAAAAATTACCATTCATTATGCTTATTGGGACATAACAGTAAGGAAGGTGACTCAATTGATCTACAGGTTCATTGAATTTTCGCAATTAATAACAATGACAGTGTTTATTTGTTGATAAGTACCATAGAAGTAACTCGAGCTTTGTAATTTTCCAAATAGTTCAATAACTGAGATGAAAGAGAATATTTATAGTTTAAGATGTGATAGAGATTTTTTATTCACTGACTTTAACAAGTTTGTTTGTGTCCAATTATCAAGAACACAAAGCCTTCATAATGTCAAACAATTATTTCAATGAATAAGACCATGAGTCAGATGAAGCTAGACTGCCATGGAAAAGCTGAAAGCACTGGACGGCCGTTTCGTCCTATTGATATGGATTTATAACGTTTTTAGTCTTTTGTATTCCAGATGATAACCAACTTGATGAATCCACGAACTTTGTTCTAATCATATTTATTACAAAAACTCTTAATTTTTAATCTCTTACTTGATTGATATATTTCATATTTAACACTGAATGTACGCTAAGTAAAACCCAATGTCATATTTGTCTAGTCTTTTAGTTGTAGTGCTAAAGGAGTAGGAAAACATGATATTGGTCACTATTCAGTGATCGCTCAGTTTTGAGTGTCCTATCCATGTAGGAGATCAGTTTTATCTAGAATAGAACAGTTGTGAAGTTATAGATTATGAAACTTAGTGACTATGATTTGAAACCCACGGAAGGTAACAAATCTTTAACATTGTTGAATAGTCCCAACTAGTATGAAATGCAGGTCCAGGATCTCCATACTAACTACCTCTAACTACTAATGATGATTGACATTATATTCATTGTTAGTTCATTTTTGTGACTTCGTGATTTGATAAATTCTTTTCAATTTTGTATTGAATTTCTTTTCATTATTCAAGGAAAATGGTTTTGAACAAATTTGTATTAATTACACGAATGAACGTCTACAACAATTCTTCAACCATCATATGTTTGTCTTAGAACAAGAAGAATATAAACGTGAAAAGATTCAATGGACATTTATTGATTTCGGTATGGATTTACAAGCTTGTATAGATTTAATTGAAAAGGTAAATTATCAAATTTTTCAAACTATGAGTATTCTGATACCGGAAGTTATTCAAACGCAGAAATCCTAAAATAAAAATAGAAGGGTCTGTTCAAAGTGTAGTAGCATCATAGAAACCAAAATAAACACTAATACTTCAGGTAAAACATGAATCATGAGATTTTAGGGCATAAACTACTCCCTTTAATGAGTAGATTAGAGAAATGTATTCTTCAAACCAGATATTAGTACTTGTTTATGCTGAAATAAAAAGTTGTCAACTAATTGTAATAGGCAAATTGTTTCATGTAAGCAAGGCTTAAAAGTTTAGTTTATACAGATAAACTGAACGAGGAAAGGAAGAAAAAGCTATTTCATAACATTAAAACTGAAACCAAACATGCAAACAGGTGGGTAAAGTTTATAACATGTTTCCGTTATTCATCAATTGGTATTAATGCGCAAAATTCAGAAACACTCTAATACAATCAGACTACTTATTATCATCAAGTAGTTAATCACTAGACATTAAAAATTAATAGCTGTGGGATGATCAACTAATTCGAAACAAACAAGTTCACTTACTATCTGAGACTGATTAAATTCTATCTGTAAAAGTTTTAGTGTCCCCTTTACAATAAATGATCGAGCATTGTGGATTTTTTGAACCAGTCTATGTAGAGTGATGAAGATTCTAATCTGAAAGGAAACATCGTTTCTTTAACAATCATTGGTGAGTTTCAGATAGCACAAGATGAATGTCCAAGACAGTAGCTTAGATTATTTTCGCTGTGTTTATGTCTTTGTTCTAATGCCTTACTGATTGTACTCCTGGATAAATTTCAGAAACGGTTTCTTTCAAATATTAGAATGAATGGTTAATCAGTGGTCATATTAATTCTATGAATTCTGGTATAATAAATAGCTATTGAATCTGTGTAAACTATCCATTTTACGAGTCAATTTTCTACCCTTAAGAAGGATAAATTAACCGCTTTGACAATTGTCACTTTATCCCTTCATCACACTGATCATATTTCGATAACCATTGGAAACTAGGGTTGGATGAATAGCTGATCTGTTGAATCAATATCTCCCGATTCTCGATTCTAGTGTTTATTTTCTAGACTAATGATCTCAGATCCAATCGTTTGCAAGTCTAACTTGAACAAACTCAAGGTGTTGTGCAACTATCTTTTAATCCTATTGATAACTAATTGCCTCAAATCTGATGTGGCTGAACACTGTTTATAACTTCTCATCAGAACCCAGTTAATTGGCTCTTGAAGTCAATCACTAGTTAACATATGGGCATATTATTAACATGAAAAGTTTAATGGAAATCTATTATATTTCAGTTTAATAATGTTTGTAAACTTTATTTATTTGTTTCTCTATTTTTTTAGCCTATGGGTATCTTATCCATTCTAGAAGAAGAATGCATCGTTCCCAAAGCTTCGGATCAAACATTCTTGTCGAAATTATACGATAATCATTTAGGTAAAAGTCCTAATTTCACCAAACCGAAGCCACCGAAGCCAGGACATGTGGAAGCTCATTTCGAATTGCATCATTATGCTGGATCTGTAAGTAAATACACATATATATTCCTATAATTTCGTCTTGTTAAAATAAAAACTGTATTTCCATATGTATTAATTCGACTGTATTCAATGAAATTCGTAACATTATTTCAAGTGAATAATAAAATTCTCAGTATGCGGCTATGGAGATTGTTGGATTTCATTGAGATCATGAAATGTTTACGCGTTAAACCAAAGTTCCTGTATTTGATTGCCACATGCAGGTTTGTGGATGTGCACTATTGACAAGTCTCATATAAGGGTGGAACGACAGTCCACTACTTATAAATTTTCAATGTTCATCTAACATTGATTGACTCATGATTTCAATGAATAATACAAAGTAGAGCATTTGAGATATATATATTTTTTTATATTCATAGCTTACGAGGAATTCTTTCAACAATTTTCTTTACAGAAATTTAGTAGAAGATAATAAGACTTTTATAATCCCTGTCTTTTATGCGCTATTTTTATTGTAACCACTCAATTTCAAAGGCAATGTATTCACTTTCTTTTCTTATATCTATCATCTTTCTAGGTTCCATACACAATAACCGGATGGTTAGAAAAGAATAAAGATCCACTTAATGATAGTGTAGTTGCATTATTAGGTGATAGTAAAGATCCTTTAGTGTCAAATCTATTTACTCCAGTTGTCGGTAAGTAGTGACTTTTTTTCAAGAAAAATATTTGTTTATTTACTATTATAAATGAAATGAATAGACAAAATGATGTTAAAACTGTAGTGAACACGAACACAAACGGGGGACAACTGAATGTATTTGACACAAAATTATAGGACTTATTAATAAAATCTAACAACCATATAGTAAATGCTCAATTTGCAAACTGTCCATCACTTGTCTTAAAATGACTCGACCTTCATTGTTCTTGCATTTCCATACAAATTGCATTCTGTTTTCATTCTTTACTGTTCGATCATCTCGTCTCTCTGCTACCAGACATTCTGTTCACGACTAACATCATATACTACTTGTGTCGATATAAGTAGGACACACCACAGAACGATTAAAGTTTGAAAGCAAAAGCTTTATTAGTTTACATCATACATAAACTGATCTAGTTTATGGAATTGTTAAAAATCTGGTGATGATATAAGGTAACTATTTCAGTGTTAGAATTATCTCCAGAACTCATTAATAATTCCATAGACGATTGATTGAATTCATAATCTATGAGTTTTATACTTTCTAATTTTCAATGATTGATATTTTGAGATCAGTTCGTTATTATAAACTATACAGTTCAATCTCTTGTAGCAATTACAATTGAATCATTACTATTTTTAGATTTTCATTATTTGTTGAAGTAATCTAGTTATGTAATCTAGTTATGTAACTGGTATTACATTTCAAGTGTGTTTATTTACATTTTAACTTGTTAACAAATACTTCATTAGAATAACAGTAGTTGATAATGATAACTACTGAAATTAGTATCTTATAAGTAGTATTTTCAAAAAAAAGATATAAATCGCTGATTATTCAAAAACACTTTTTATCGAAAATCATCTCTCAACTACTAAATACAATCCATGATGTTCAATTAGTTATCTTCTTCTTCTCCTTCTTCCAATAGTACCAGAAGATTGATTGATTTACATTTTTTAAATGTTCAATATTAGATTTTAGTTTTCAATTATAATTAGCGCTATTTTTTAAAAATAAAAAAAACATCAATAAACGTTTTACACATGAAATTGGGAAGATTCAATTGAGAAGTTTAAATTTAAAAAGTACTCTATAATTACAAAGAAATTTTCTAATGAGTATTATTTCATGGAAATGAAATTTCTTTTTTTTGTAACCGTAGTTCATATGTTGAATGAGTTTTTCATATTGAAATTACTCAACTTAAAAGTACATCATACAAAATAACAGTTACAGCAATGTTAAAACAAAAACTATTGAATATACTGTGTGTATAGTTCTAAGGTATGTTATCAGGTAGGAGGAGGCCCCCAAATGCCCTGGTACGGCCGAGAGTGGGGAGAGTCCGCTCTCCTTCTCGAAATGCTCTCACATGGCCACGCGTATATAGCCTCTGCCAGGGAAGTCCTACTCACTGCCTTTTCGTGGCGGGGGTGTTGTTTACAAAAATGAGAGGACGAAAAGCGAATGTCTGGCGCTTTAACCGGACCCCAAACCAATGGTGCACATGGACAGTTTGCAGTATCCTGAAGGAACAAATGGCGTATGAACCAATCGTTGGTCACCGGCTACCATGGGACTGCATCTCCTTACGATGCTCCACTGCCTTGTGGATCAGATGTTCAGGTTGAAGGCTCTGGGTGTGGCCCCCTAAGAAAACCACCTGCTTCGGTTTGGGCACCCGGGCAGTATCACAGCCCTCACACAAATCAATTGAGATTTGTGTGGCGCATATGTATTTGGTGCCTCATTGTACCTATACTTATGTGTTAAAATAAATAAATAATAATAAATAAATCAGGTAGGAGATAATATTTCGATAGTAGGATTTATTAGTCACTAGCTTGTTGGACAGATATCATTATTTGGTTTAGGCATTCATAACATTTTCTAACCTATTTTCTTTATTATTCAGTATATCTTGTCGGGATTAATAATGGTTAGATATTAGTTACATATGTTCCAAATACTTCGATAGACGAAGGTTCACAGAATATCTCAATAATTGATATCAACAGAAATTTTATGTCACTTACTATAAAGCATAAAATCAATTACAAAGTTTTAGTTAATTGTGTTCATTCGGTACAATGAGTATGAACTACTAATTAAACGACTAATATACTGTTTGTTTGTTTTTTTTCATCAAATAATCATCAAAATATAAGACGGGCAGTTTAATTCCAGGAAATAATATTTCATCTTATTTAAACTTTATCAACTAGAAGTATCTACATTTTAGTACTGATATTCATATTAAGATTTAAATTCAAAATGTTAGAATCCATTGAACAACTAACTTGAAATAGTTTTATTAAATCTTTTAAAATGAGAAAAATTCTTATTTTATATTTGTAAAAACTTCAACAAAAATATATATGTATGTATATATGTATACATGTATATAGGTGAACCTGGTAAAAAGACGAAAGGTGGCTCTTTCTTGACAGTGACCTACATGCACAGGGTAATTATTATTATTACAACAACAACAACAACAATAAAAAAAACAAGCATATATATATATATATATAAGCTAATAATTTAAATCGTATGCTGATCTATCTCATCTTATGGACTGCTGTTATGTTGCTATGACATTTTGCTGACTAATTTATTATCTGCTTGCTGATGCTTAAAAATTAAACACAAATAAAAATAATATCGATTAGTGATATAATTAAAATCTAAGTGAATTATTCCTGCATATGTTGCTATAATATGCATTTTCGAGAGAAAAACAAAATTGTAATACAATTTGCTTCATTTTTTATTTTCATTTATATATCTATCTATCATATATGTTATGTTGTTCGTAGTAAATAAACTTTAATAAGATTCAGTCAATTTAATATAAAGACTATTGTATATTCAACGAGACTATAATTTATGGACGATCCAATTAGATTTAGAGTAATAAATTTTTGATTTTACCGTGAAATTTATTTATCCATTTGGTTAAATAATGTTTTAATCATGATGTTGGTTCGAGGTAGTTAACAGGAAATTCTAGATTCGAGTTTTGTGCTATTTGGTACTCGTCAGTAAGGTGTATCTATAATATTAAGGGTACTGATGTTCCCTGACGGATTTGACCCTGTGTCACCCAGTTTGACAGTCAGAAACGTTACCATTAATATATCTGAGCGGTGACTGACCCCCTGTAGGACTTAGATGTATTTACAATTGATTGGTCGACCAAGCTGCAACGTGGTAACCAATCTAAATAACTCGATATTACGTCGATAGGATTTGATCTAGTGATTAATTAATTGTGTGTTTTAGTCAGTTTAGTTAATGATAATTTGTGATAAAAAACTTTAAATCTAATGCCTAACCTTAACCATGAATTCTAAATCATTATTCTAATTCTTCATACTAGTTTATAACTTTCATTTAACCCTAAGAAGTAAATAGATATTCTCTAGATCATTTTACAATTACTCAAAGATCGTCCATAAATTATAATCTTATCGTCTATTCAAAAGATCTAAATTCACTGCATTATTGTTTATTATTATTTATAATTTATTTTGGCTTTAAATGCTTAAGCATGCTAATTGTAAACACACAGTGAATCATAAATTAAATTAATGATAACACTAGGGCCAATACATTATTACATAACTACATTAACTTTATCAAACTGGTACTATGGAATTTAACTTGATCGTCGGTTTAAATATTATGACGATTATTATCATTATTACTTTTATCCATGTGTTATTGATTGTTTGTTTATTTTGTCTTGCATATAATTTGCTTAATTTATTCTATACTACATCTTCTAATAGACGAAGGTGGAAAACGTAAAAAAGGCGGTGCTATGCAGACAATTTCTGCTGTTCACAGAGTACACATGTTTTTTTGTTTGTTTGTTTGTTGTTGTTGCTGTTGTTGTTGTTGTTGATATTGTAGATTCTCTAGTGAAAATATTTAGCCTATAATTGTAGTTGACTTGATTGTACCTTTCAATAATTTGTTGTAGACTAATCTTCTAATTGCTAATTTATTTTGCAATCTATATATCTTAATCCCGCACGTAACACATATAAATTATATTGTATTACCTCATATAAAAAATAATGTAGCGAAATAGTAGATAACAAATGTATTGCATTCATTATGTATTGGATACACAGTACGATATTTATATTTGTATGTGTTTGTACGCGTGTGTGTGTATGTATATGTTAGTTTGTTATGGTAGTAGTGGTAGTAGTAGTAATATCTGTAGTATTAGTAGTAGTGGTAGTGCATCTTTTGGAGAAAAATCAATATTTTCAATCTGTAGACAATTTGAGTACAGTAGAATTTGTGAATATATATTCACATTTTACTTTATAAATTCATCTTAATAATGTAACATTTTTCAAATGAGTAGTCATTCATCAATGGTGTGTTATAGATGGTTTACACAGATTAATGTTTTTTTTTAAAAAATTGTTAGAGAATAAACATTGATAAATAATAAGGTAATATTTGAATCAGAAGGGGTTTTGTAGAGATTTTAGTAATTTCAATAATTGAGATCGTGAGTCAATTGAAGCTAGACAACTATGGAAAACCTGGAAGCACTGGACGGCCGTTTCGTCCTATTGTGGGACTACTCAGCAGTGCTTCCAGGTTTTACGTGGTGGCCTAGCTTCAATGGACTCATGATCTCAATTATTGAAGGTAATGTTTGTTTAAAGTAAACTAGAATTGCATTTTCTGACAGATTATTGTAAAATATATTTTAGTATGTTGAGTATCAGGTAGTTACCTTCAAATAAAAACGAAAAGCAGTTAGACGTGTAAATCATTGGATGTCTTCTTCGTGACCTCAAGACCAAACTTTTTTCGTAAGTCTTGAAGGTTATTGGTTCAGACTCTGGATGAAGTTGAGGATACTCAATGCTAATAAGTCTCACTATGGAACGAAAAAGATATCTAGTGCTTTCTGGTTTTCAATGATTGTTTAGTTAAAATCAATCTGTTTTAAAAACGATGAAAATTCAAAAACCTCTGAAAATCCTATATAGTATTTAAGGTTATTTTGTCTTATAGTTGCTTTTTTTCAAGGACGATTCCTAAAGTTCCAGTAAGAGGTAATGACTAATGTAGTTCAACCATATTGGATTTTAGACGGTTACCTATCAATTACGATTAAAGATAATTGTTCAGCATCGCAAAAATAAAACAATGATTTTATTTGATATCGATAATGGCTAGAAATGAAATCCACAATATAGTTTTCTCACTACTTAGTACTCGTCAAATGAATGTACTTGCATCTCACATTTGTCATTTATTCTGGAAATCAAATACACTAATATTCACTTCAGATACCGTCACGTTATCCATTCACTTATTTACTGAATCACGATAGCAACTGACTTGTGCGACGGAGTGAAGTCTAATTGATTTATATTGATTGCTTTTTGTGTTTAAGACTAAATGATCAGTTCCTTCTCGACATACATGCATCCTGTACGGATAACTTCGATATTACCATTGTTAGCCAACATCTATCCCCGCTTATAATACGTGTTATTTAAGGTAGCACCAAGGCGATCCGTTTAGGACGGACGTATGCCAAAATCATCATCATATTGAACAGCTATATTGTTTAATTACGACAATTTTAAGCTATGTTCATACATAACCTAATGAAACCTGAAACCTTTCTATAATCTTGTGAACATTACATTACAGATGAGCTCTTGAAATTGGATTTCCTAGTCAAAATTATTAGAATTTATTGCATTTTTCTATCCTCGTTAATTATTTTTATTAACTAGTTACAATTTTTATATTTCTTTAACTATTTCAATTGAATTTTGTTAGATATGTTTATACTACTTACAAACATATTTCAGTAACATAAAAATAATTAATAGTAATATTCGTCTAGCACTACATTGATTAAACGAAAAAATTTCCATTAAACTATAACTCATTAAATTTGCATGTATTTCTTCATCTCCCCTTAGTGCACGTCTTTGCATTAGTTAACTATACTCAGAAATAGTGTAAAACAAGCATGATATCATTGTTATTTGGTTTGCAATTTGTTATTTATTTATAGTTATGCATGAATATTCTTCTCTCTCCTTCTTTTCTTTCTTTTTTTGCCTACTTTAATTTAATTATCTTTATTTTTATTCGTTTATTATTTTATTTTAATTCATTTTATTTTTGTAATAATTATGTGTAAATTTAGGAATCATTGAATAAATTAATGAAAAATTTACAAAGCACCAGTCCATCATTTATTCGTTGTATTGTTCCGAATGAATTTAAACAACCAGGTGAGTTGTATAGCAGTTTCAAAGTGTATTATAAATACATGTTTTAAAACATTTTAATAGTTGAATTAATTAGTTAATTAAAGTTAGACCACCATGGGGAATCTGGAAGAACTGAACAGCCGTTTCGTTCTAGTATGGGAATCCTCGGCAGTGCGCACCCAAGATCCCACCTAGAGATATTCGAACCCACGACTTAACAGTTTTGCGCGCTAGCACTCAACCACTAGACCACTGAGCCGGCATCCAACAGTGTTAATGTCTAACCTTAACCAATCCATGAAATTGAGCGACACATGCACCATTATCATCAGTGAGTTACTATCTCCCATCAGATCTGGTTGAACTCCGACGGTCAAGACTTCTTATTAGGTCTCCAGGATATACCTCTTGAAGACAGTCACTAGTGAGCACATGACTATTATTATCAGAAGTGGGTTTTATGGAGATTTTAATAAACTAATAGTATGGGATTCAAACATTTGTCATCTAGTCCTACGGTCTACAATGTTACTACTGAGTTAATCTGGCAACAACAGGTCTATCGGAGTGAGATATTTACAATGATTGATCACGGATTAGTGACCAGTATGATATTTACCCAGTGTCTTATTGTTGATCAGATTCTATCAACCACGTCACAATTTCTCAAAGTGTAAAGCTTGATGGAGCAGCTGTCTTCTCGAGATTGCGGTTATACTATGATGACAAGTACCACCCACCACGAATCCACGGCCCAATGTTTCCTGCTGAATGCCTCAAACTACTTAACGTTTGAGACAAAGTCTGTAAATTTATCCATTTCTAACCATTTAAATAATTGTGTATACAACACCAAGTATGCAATTTTATGTGTTCGACCACTGGATGGTATATTCTCACATATTATGTAGGTGAAATATCACATTATATACGTGATGCCTGAAATACACTTATTAGTTGGATAATTTGATAGTTTTTGTTATGCTTATTAAAAATCTTATTACAAGTGTCTTGTGGTATATGTTACGTATACTGACAGATATATTTAGTATATAACACCAATAGGAAGTGGAATTCTTGTCAGTAGAAGATTAAAATGAAGAGAATAGGAGAAAAAAAATCAGAGGGCAATCAAAATAAGAACATAATTAGAGGAATAATAGAATATGTGAAGAACAACTCAAAGAAGTTGTACAAATAATGTATTTAATGTATGATTTTTATATTTTACTAAACCACTGTGTGATTTTGCCTTAAATAATAAATTGGTTATCCCTACTTGGGTTCTCGTTTACTACAGTTTTGGTTAAATGATTATCTTTACATTGACTTTATATCAACGGAGCTTATTAAAGTCCCTATGAAATAATCAAACTAATTAATAAGTAGACTATTGTTATCCTATAAGTTTAATCATTAAACAACAGTTTTGTATTACACCGCAAATTATTATATCTGAAATAAAATCTAGTCATATAATTATTTCGTATAATTTATCATATTGAGATCATGAACCGATCAATGTTAGACCATCATTGAAAATCTGGAAGTACTGGATAGTCATTTCGTCTTAGTATAAGAGTCAGCAGTTTGATGTGTTTGAATCTCGCATATGGGATCTTTAATGAGCTTTTCTCAGAAGTCAAATATACTAGAATGAAATGGTCGTCTATCACTTCCAGGTTTTTAATGCTGATCTAGCACTGATCCGTTCATGATCTCAATTACTACACAATAATAATTCATTATATATTTAAATCTAATAAAACATAAATTAATTAATTAAAATCTACAATTTTCATTTATTTTATTTAATTATTTAAGGTGTAATTGATGCTCATTTGGTTTTGCATCAGTTACATTGTAATGGTGTACTTGAAGGAATTCGTATTTGTCGTAAAGGTTTTCCAAATCGTATGATTTACTCTGAATTCAAACAACGGTAATTTACTTAATTTTATTTCAATATAGTCTAATTTATTTCATTGATATATAAAATCAATAAATTACATCAATCTGTATAAAAACTGGTTACAATCAGATAGTTAGTCTATTAGTGACTTATTTCATGATATTCTTGAATTTCTAACGACTTATAACTGGTTAGATTCAGATATTGTCATAACTTGTGGCCTGAATGTCCTGTTTATGTATAACGTATTGATACCGCCAATTAGAAAGCAGTGAATTATCGATCGGATCAATGACGCGTAAACCCGTATGAGCAGTTTACAGTCCTGATTGATCCTGCTTTCCGCCTAGCCCGGCCAGTTAAGTCCAGAAAACCTATCCCAGCCTCTGTAATATGAATCATTTATTTTAAACATACTCGGTTTATATACCAATCAAACAGACCACAGCGTACCGTAAAATAGAAAAAAAACATTTGTACAAAATTTGACCAAATGTGGCTATGAATGTGGGAGGTAGTAATTGATAGACAGTGCATAATTCAAGAATCGTAAATCGTATAATAACAGTTCATAGATCAAAACAAAGCTTATAATAAGAGGAATATGAATATGTATAGTTTAGTTATTTAAAAATTATACGACAAAATATACGTATAGTATTGTTACATAAATGGATCCGAAAAGTTATCATTCATTATGCTTATCGGAACCTAACAGATATATTTAAAGTAAAATAGTTTTTCTCAGTGAAATTGAATGATTGCATTATTATATCATAAATTGATTCAAGTTGAATTATATCATTGAACACTGACCTGATAATTCTAATAATAGATAAGTATTCATCGTGACACTTGAAGGTTCTAAGTTCAACTATTATTATGGTGATGAATTCTTAAATGATCTGCTTAATTTCATACTAGGATAAAATAACTGGTCCAACACTGTCTAGCTTCCAACAATATCCTAAATGTCATTTAATTCGTGACGAATACTAATTGTAAAGTCAAATAAATTTACATTAAACTCTTATAATCAATTTCATATAAATTAAAATGATCTATGTAAGATGAACAGATATTCAGAGTAGATCATCTCATGAAGTGATGTAATGGACAAGATGAAAATATTTTCTGTTTGTCACTTGTTACTACTATAATGCCACTGCTGGCGACTGCTGAATACTCGATCGGTACATTGTACAAAGAATGAGATCTCATTATATTAACATGCACATTTCATAAATGAATTTAGAAAACTAAAGTATTTAGAGGAGATAATATTCCATTCTACACAATTACAAACCATTTAACGTTCAATGAATCAATTAAAAAAGAAAAGTAAATTATACATTAATTGGTCAATAAGGTTGGATATTGTTTTTCCATGTTCAGTGGACAATCATATCCTGTTTTCACTAGCCATATACTATAAACATTTTAGTATTAAAAAAATTCCGTGAAACTATAAATTTATGAACGACCTTTGAGCGACACTAGAATGAGGGTTATAAACCATGGTGAGAAATGAAAATTATGATTTACAGTTGATGGTTAGGGCTAGGAATTAGATTTATGGTTTTCATCACGAAGTGATATAAGCTATAATACCAAAACTCTATTTAACCAAATAGATGAGTGAATTTCGCGCCAAAATCTGAGACCTGTTAAATTATACTTAATTGGTTTGTCCATAATGTATAATCTCGCCCAAATCAGTTATAGATGATTTATCGAATATTTCAACATAATCATTTTATCTCATTATGCTTACATATGAACAAAAGTGAAAATAATTTCGAAATTTCTGAAAAAAAGAAACAACAATTTAGATACAGTTTAAATTCATAAATGTATTCAATCATATATCAGGAGGAATGTAGGAGTTACCCACTGATGTTTCAAAGTATCTAAAGTGAGAAACAATTATGCAAACTATTATATTCCGGCTATTTCATATCAGAACTTTATGTTTATCTCTTTAAATGTGAAGATTCTCTAAGTTTGATGTTTTTTGAGTCGCTTGGTAGTTGTTAACTTTGGAGAATTTCTTCGCTGGATTTAAATAGCTGGTTTTTATTCAACAACTTTAAAGTCTGTGTGAATTAATAATGGGAATTTCTGAATTAGTTTATCACATATAAATATAACAAATGATTTGTAGGATTCATTGAAGATAACAGTTAGTTGAAGATAATTGGTAGAATATCCTGTCTTCCACAAAACGTACCATTAGTCATTAGAGAGATGAGATAACATTTAAGACTCGAACCCGTGTTATCCAACTTTACAGTCTGAGACATTTCCACAAAACATTTTTGAGCTATGATTAACCTATAAGAGTGAGATGTACTTACTGCTTCTATGAATCTAGTGTTCGTTTTGCTGTGTTAATGAGGTGTGACAACTTGGACCAATGCATGTATGTACCTGGTCCTACGTTGTAACTGACTGACTGACACTTGACTGATCACTAAATAATGACTAATCTCATAATCATTTAGTTCTTTTTAGTGATAAATGGACTCTATCGATAAAGCTATAATGTGGACACTAGTCTGAACGACTTGATATCTCATATACTATGATTTGATGTTAAATGTTTGAAGGTAGTCGACAGAAAATCTTTTTAGTATACTACTACAATAACTTAAACCATATTAGGTTATATATAATATAACTAACCAAGTTATTTCCTTTCTCATATTATATTCAATCTTCTTTCTGATATAAAGTTACTCAATTTTGGCACCAAATGTTATACCTGATGGATTTGTTGATGGTCGTCAAGTTACAGAAAAATTATTAGAAGCAACACAATTAGATAAAAATCTCTATCAATGCGGTAATACCAAAGTATTCTTCAAAGCTGGTACACTAGCTCATTTAGAAGATTTACGTGATGATAAATTAAATGGTATAATTAGTTTATTCCAAGCGGAAATTCGTGGTTATTTGATGAGAAAACAATATAAAAAATTACAAGATCAACGGTAAGTGTTGTTCATATCAAATCAATATCAGTATTACATAATATGAAAAGATAAAAAGAAATGTTGAAATCAAGGTGAAATGGTATCTGAAATGGTGTAAAGACAAAGTTAGTTATTGTGTGGATTTAAGGTCCATAACGAAGGAGAAGGCGGAAAAAGAAAAAAACTGAAAGCTAAGATCGTATTAAAATGGGAGTCTTTTGTATACACACTGTTTACGTTTCTAAATGTACGATGCTTATCACCTCTGTAGTACCTTTGAGTATAATAATTTTAAAATTACTAAGTCGATCTAATTTCAATAACCATTTACATATATTCATCTTGAATTTAATGACAGTTATAAATGTTGTTTCTTCTCGACAATTGAAAATGACAGAAGAAAAGTATGTATTCATTGGTTCCCTGTAAAAAAACTGATAAATAGATGGTCTTGATAACTTGAAAGCTTGATCTCAACTGCTTGAAAATGATTACACATTGAGTTTTGTGTATTCGCTTCATACTTTAAAACTTTACCACTTGTAGTGAAAATTCATGACCAAAGATGGGATGTTTTGTTTTAGACTAGACCATTTTTAACTCTCTTATTCTACTAGGATTAGGTAGTCTCTCTACAAGTATTAGGTGTATCCGATACAATCAGTGATATGGTTTGAACCACAGACCTTACTTACTTACATATTTACGCCTGTTACTCCTAATAGAGCATAGGCCGCCGACCAGCATTCTCCAACCCACTCTGTCCTGGGCCTTCTTTTCTAGTTCCATCCAATTCTTGTTCATTTTTGTCATGTCTATCTCCATTTCTCGGCGTAACGTGTTCTTTGGTCTTCCTCTTTTCCTTTGATCTCGAGGATTTCAAGTGAGTACTTGCCTTGTGACTCAGTTGGATGCTTTCCTTAATGTATGTCCTATCCATTCCCGGTGCTTCTTTCTGATTTCTTCCTCCGCTGGGATCTGATTTGTTCTCTCCCACACAGTAGGTTGTTGCTTATAGTGTTCGGCCAACGGATCCGAAGTATTTTGCGTAGACAACTGTTAATAAACACTTGTATCTTCTGGATGATGGCTTTCGTAGTTCTCCAGGTCTCCACCCCATACAGTAGAACTGTCTTGACATTTGTATTGAAAATTCTAACTTTGGTGTTGGTTGCCAGATGTTCTTCAGTTGTAAATATGCTGACCCATAGACTTTACTCCTTTTATATCTTACGATTCAATATATTAAAATCTCTTCTTTTATTCTCATTATTCTAGTGTTGCACTTACTTTGATGCAACGTAATATTCGTAAATATTTAGTATTACGTAATTGGCCATGGTGGAGATTATATACAAAAGTTAAACCAATGTTAAATATTGCACGTCAAGAAGAAGAAATGAAAAAAGCCGCTGAAGAATTAGCTAAATTAAAAGAAGAATTTGAAAAATTAGAAAAATTAAAAAAAGAATTAGAAGAACAAAATGTTACTGTATTACAACAAAAAAATGATTTATTTTTACAATTACAAACAGAACAAGATAGTTTAGCTGATGCTGAAGAGAAAATATCTAAACTTGTATTACAACGTGGTGATATGGAACAACGTATTAAAGAATTAGAAGAACGTTTAGCTGATGAAGAAGATCAAGCAGCTAATTTAAATGAAGTAAAAAAGAAAATGTGCAGTGAAATTGAAGAATTAAAAAAAGATGTTGAAGATTTAGAATCATCATTACAAAAAGCTGAACAAGAAAAACAAACAAAAGATAATCAAATACGTACATTACAAGCTGAAATGGCACAACAAGATGAAACAATTGGAAAATTAAATAAAGATAAAAAGAATTTAGAAGAACAAAATAAACGTACACAAGAAGCATTACAAGCTGAAGAGGATAAAGTGAATCATTTAAATAAATTAAAAGCTAAATTAGAATCAACATTAGATGAAGTAAGTTTATTATGAAAAGTATTTTTAATGTCTTTCATTCTTTTTTTATTAATTACTTTACTGACGTTTATCATTCCACGTGGAGAAGCATAAGCTGCTCACCAGCATTTTCCATCTAACTCTGTCTTGGAGAATCCTTTCCAGTTACTGTTCATTTTTTTCATGTCTGCTTTTAATTCCCAACACATTGTGTACTATGACCTTCTTCTTTTGTGTTTCTCTTCAGATTAGATTTTCTGACGTTTCGTGACTTGATGTAAGTGACTTCTTCAGAGAATATATAACCAAATAAAAATTTATCCAAGTTTAAATAGTACAACGGAAACACTTGGATTAATTTTAATTTTGTTATTTATTCTCTAAAGAAGTGGAAAATCTAATTTTTCTACTCATTGGAATATTACAAATATATTAGTTATTTATAGAAATCTGACCAATCCAAAATTATCGAATCAATCTTTGGTAATGATACCTATGTTCGATCATTGTTACCTTTGAAGGATTGCTAACGTCCAGGGGTAATACCGTGTTGGTAATGTTGAGGTTTGGTATGTGTGTTTTAACATATTCACAGTAACTTAGTTAATGTTTCTATCTTGAAGCACAACTTTTTGTGGCTTGGACATATAGTACAAATGTCATGTCGTTGACATCCATATCGTGCATTATTTATCAACGCTCAAACTGATTGGGGAGACAATCATTTTATGATATGGTCCCTGGTATTGAAGAAATCAGTATAAGACTTACACCATTACTCTTCAGTTGGGGTCTGAGAAATGGTGCAATTCAATGGCTTGAGACGTTATCAGACATGGTTCAGAATAGAAGTTAATAAGGATCTATTTTTAAACCCTTCATAAAAGCGAGAGGAACTTGCTTAACTAAGAGAAATATTCTTGAGTACATATTTTTATTAACTGGTTTATAAGAAACTATTTTGAATTACTTAGTTGTCTTCCAAATAAATTTCTTTCCCTCCGTTATCTCTTCAAGATTTCGTCACTTTATTTGTTTCAAGCACACTTTCTTTGATAATCACTTGTAGTGCTGTTTTGTTTATTAATCACATTATTATTATTACTTTACACTACCTTTTATTCATATAGATGGAAGAAAACCTAGCTCGTGAACAAAAGATTCGTGGTGATGTAGAAAAATCCAAACGTAAATTAGAAGGTGATTTAAAAGCTACACAAGAAACTGTTGATGATTTGGAACGTGTAAAACGTGATTTAGAAGAGCAATTACGACGTAAAGAAGCTGAAATTAGTGGTTTAAGCGGAAAATTCGAAGATGAACAAGGTTTAGTAGCACAATTACAAAGAAAAATTAAAGAACTTCAAACACGTATACAAGAATTAGAAGAAGATTTAGAAGCGGAACGTGCAGCTCGTTCGAAAGCTGAGAAGAGTCGACAACAGGTAGGTAAAATGAATAAATTCATAATACTCGTTTCGGAACTTAACCAACTGAGTAATAATGACATTAAAATTAAAATTGCTTTATTAATTGTATAATTTATTTAGAATAAATTTACCATAGATGATAATGAAAGATAGGAGATGTATTTTATACTATTTTCGACTAATTAGATGAATGTGCCTGAATTGTACTGTGGATATTCACATTAGGTCTCGAATCTTGTACCTAGTAATTGTCTTGATGCTACCTTAAGTCACAAACATTATAAACAATGATGGATAGTGGTTAACAGTGATAATATCGAACTGATCCGTACAGGATGCATGTACGTCGAAAAGAAACTGATCAATTATAGTCTTAAACACGAAACACAACCAATATAAATGAGTTAGACTTCACTCTATTGCACAAGTCAGTTGCTATCGTAACTCAGTAACTAAGTGGATAGATAACGTGATGGTATCTGAAGTGAATATTACTGTGTTTGATTCCCAGAATAAATCACAAATATGAAATGTAGGCACATCCAATTGATGAGTCTTAAATAGAACGGAACGCGCGTTATGGATTCCATTGGTAGCTACTATCCATCACTACATAAATGTTTATTGTTTACTTAGCCAATAAACTTTTTTTTCTTTCTTCCTTTTTCAAAAATATTACAATAAAAGCTTGAAAGTGAATTAGAAGAAGTTGTAGATCGTTTAGAAGAACAAGATGGTGCTACAGCGGCTCAAAGTGATTTAACTAAAAAACGTGAAGCAGAACTAATGAAATTAAAGCGTGATTTAGAAGATACACGTTTACAAAATGAACAAGCAATAGCTACAATGCGTAAAAAACAAAGTGATGCTGTAAATGAATTAGCTGATCAATTAGATCAAGCCAATAAAGCTAAAGCAAAGTAAGAAAAGTATTATTAAATTAACATTTTATTCATAGAGGGGTTTTATGGAGATTGTAGCAATTGAATAATTGAATTCATGAGTCAATTGAAGCTAGATCACCATGGAAAACCTGGAAGCATTGAACAGCCGTTTCATTCTAGTATAGAACTCCTCAACAGTGCGTATTCCTTATCCTGCCCCGCGAACGCTTAACCTGTAGTTTACTGAGCTGGCATCCAACTGTGGGTTTGAATCTCACGGGGCGCATTGCTGGGGAATCCAATTAACTCATGAATTCAATTATTAAATTGATATTTTACTAATGATCTTCAGTAAATATATCGACAAAATGCTTTGATGAATCGATGAAACATGAACGAAAAATAATGATGTACAGTTTCAATATGATTAAGACTAAGTATTATTCAATAACACTGGAAATGAAAGTACCCTGAATGTAAAATTACTCAGCTCGAACATTACCTTTTCTGACACTGATGAATTATTATTATAATCTCTAATATTTTACTTCACAAGGATATCAATCTCCAATCTGTTTAAATTATGAAATCTAATCTAAGACATGAATTCCAGTAGGAAACTATCTTTAAGGAATAAGAACTTTCATCTAAGTTTGATCGAATAGTTTCACAGTATTTAGACGCCCAATTGATGTGAAACATTAAAGAGGAAGAATGTATTTGTAAAATCTCAGGTAATATCTTTTATATCCTTGAAAAGGTTAGAACCAGATTGCCAAACAAAACGCTGGATTTACTTCAAATTCATTCACTATGATCTTACAAATACATTCTTCCTCTTTAACATCTTTAAAAAAGTTTCAAGTTTAAGCTTATATTTATCATTATTATAATCATTATTATGAATGACTTTATTCAATATTATATATTTGATACAGTATGAAATTGTCAGCACAAAGTCTTTCAATGGGTTTCTTTTTCTTATTTTCTTGATTCATCTTGAAGATAAATATTGAGTGATGTTATCAACTCAGGAATCGACATCTGAATAATGTTCATTCTTTCAATGCATATGGATAGCTATCACGATATCTCTGATTGCGCTCTTCTATAACTTATACAGTGAAATGTAGTACATTTTTCAGAAACTCACCTGAATAGATTATGCAATCAATTGACATAATTATCTGTTAAAATAAACAAGGAAACAGATAACTTGTTGAAATAACTTGATAGCAGGAACAGGTAGCCCAGATATTCAAGCAGGCCTCCTGGTTACCATAATATATTTTTATCAGGGAAAATTCTTTTATTGTTCTTGTTATTTTCCAATAAAAAACCAAATATGTAATTGTTACATTGCAAAACGTCTGATTCAGTTAGATACACACATGTTTCTTATACAATTACCAATGGTGTTATATGAGTGAAAGCATAAAAATAACTATGAAGCTCTAATTGAAAAAAGTAAATCAATTCGTACATGAAATCATATGCTCATATACTACACCCTTTTGAACCAAACAAGAATTTGATCAATTACATAATTATCATTCTTTAGTAGTCTGTGCCTAATTCATTATTTCTCACCTATTACTTTGATTCTCAGACAACCTATCTTAATCCAACTAGCCTATCATCTCACTTCTCTTGAAAAGTATCCCCTAATTTTAGGGATTTAGTTGTATGAGTTGAGGTGAATAACATTTTCTCCATGATTGATTAACATCTTAGAGCGTGATTATCGATTGTGACATTGTGAATAAGCTATTCTGACCTTAAACTATAATTTGTCTAATATACTGGATAGCATAATTATTTCTAAATATTTACTAATGATACTTTACTGAATACCAATAACTATCATTAATCATTAGGAATTTCGAAAGAAGTATGGAAAAAAATGTTTTTAGCTTGTCTGGAAGCTTCTGGGTTGTTCGGTATTCTCTGAGTTACATAATGGTTTACAATTACAATACTTTTCGTTCAGTGTTTTCTAGTTTTAAATAGTTGCTTAACAATATATCAGTTCATGAAATAAACTACCGAAAATGTTATAATCTCTACAAAATTTCTCATAATAAAAAATTTTTTAAATTTAATATTCTATTCTAGTAAAGGGTAGTGGATCATGAACTGATCAGTGTTAGATCACTATTGAAGATCTTCAAACACTGGGTGGGTGTTTTGCCCTAGTATGAGACTCCTCAGCGATGAGAAACTGTAACTAGTGGAGTTCAACCGTGCCGGATGTAAGGAAGTTACCCACCTAATACAGTTTAACATCATCTAACAATATATTAAGGATTGATTGTAGTTAGACATTAACACCGTTGAATGCCGGCTGAGTGGTCCAGAGGGAAAATGTTCGCTCGTGAGACCAAAGACCTTGGATTAGAGTCCTTCACGAGAACTCGTCGAAGCGCACTAACGAGGAGTTCCATACTATGACAAAACAGTCGTGTATTGCTTCTAAGTTTCCCTTGTCGACCTAACGTTGATCAATTCATGATCTTAATCAATATTCTATACTGATACATTTATAATTACTTTTATTCATAGGGCTGAAAAAGAACGAAGTCAATTCAAAGCTGAATTAGATGATGCACATAATCAGGTGGATAGTATTATGAAAGCTAAAGTAAGTAGATGAGTAATTCTTTCTTTTAAAGTAATTTTTTCTCCTTTTTTTCTTTTGATGACCAAATTTATTTTGTGTGTGTTAACACTATGATTGTTTCACATGTTAGATACAATCTACATAGAAATTATTAGATATTTGTAACGATTATTAATATCACTCATGGATCATGGTGGTTAAACATTATTTGTTGTCATGATTACAAACTTTCCAAACGTTACATAATGTTATTTTTTAATTTTTCATTCGATGTGATGTAAAATAAACGTCATACACTTTTGAATTTTGCGCAATAAAGGTCAATACAGTTTTTCTTAATCCTGATTGGTTTATCCCTATTCCATACTTTTATAAGTAATTGTATTCTGAATGGAGATTTGTGAAGATGGTAGTAATTTTAATAGGTAAATTTATAAGTTGATCTAAGCTGGATCACTGTTGAGGACCGTTTCAGTGTGGGACTCCTCAGTAGTACACATACATGATCCCGCACACGTGAGACTCGAATGCAAGACCTTCGATCTCTGGAGTGAATAATTAATCTCCAGATCACTGAGACTATTCTATTCAGAATTCATTTAACCTAATCTGATATAATTTCTTTTATCTTGTTTATTTTTATTTTTGATTGAAAAAAAATTAGTTGAATTCTGAGAAAACAGTGAAGGCTCTAGAATCTCAATTACAAGAAGTTTCAGTGAAATTAGATGAAGCTACAAGAAATTTAAATGAGCAAGCTTCGACTAAAGCACGCAGCAGTCAAGAAGTTTCTGAATTACAACGACAATTAGAAGAAGCTGAGTCACAATTAAGCCAATTGAACAAAATTAAACAACAACTAAGTGCGCAACTTGAAGAAGCACGTCATAGTTTGGAAGATGAAAGTCGAGTATGTGTAAAGAATTATAATGGTTTATTAAATTAATTATAGATAATGCATTGTAATTTTAAGTTAGTTAACAGGACTAATCACCTACAAGTATCTCATGGTCAACTGAATTAGAGTAGTATTTATGTGGGTGTTACTGAGGTGACAAAGACAGTGAGACTGATTATAGAAATCTCAAAATCAATGGGTTCACATTAGACTTACTGAATATCCACATGGTAATTACTATTCGTTGATAATTCCCTAGTATTAATCTGACACCTAATTTAGCTTAAGGCTTTAAGATCTTACAAGGACTACTATACTCACTGAATATTGTGTCAAAATGCAATAGTTCACATTACTATTTTTAATCAGCTTCCAAATTAAACACGTTCTTCACTTGATTCCGTTGGTTGTAACCTTTTTCACTAGGAGCGTTATGGCGGTTTTTACTTTCCGATTGCTCATGATGTTAAAGTATACTATACTATACTAAAGTAAACAATACTATACCTGAAAAAAAAACAATGGATTACCGATAATATTGGCCAACTATAAGAATGACCATATAGCTAAAGAGTTATCTACTTAATGTCGGAAATTCACAAGTTTTTGACGTGTAGTTTTGACACATCAAACCTATATTTTTAAAGGCCTTAATCTTGGCAACGAAATTTAATGGGACTGTTTTTTGGATTAACTTTTTCTAATACCCAACAATACAAGAAAAATAGACAAATTCCAGATTTCATTGAAAGTGATGTGAACAGATTTCCATTCAACAGATAACTGTAGATCACGTATGTGTTAAGCACTTCTTCAAATGTTTATAATCATGATATTCATTATAATCACTGCATGGGTTATTAAAAGATAAAAATAGATATTTTGTTTGAAATAGGCTCTTGATTCTACAGAAACGATAAGATATGTTATTGTGTTTCCGAAGCCACATCTCATACATTGAATAACCTAAACCTTACCTACTTTGAGTAATACTCTGATTCACTTTTCTTATCTAATCTAACTAAGTACTTTTCAACCAAATATAGTATAATGGGTTTTTGTTTGATGATTATTTGAATCTCCCGATTGGTTTGTTAAGGATATTAACTGATCAATCTCTTATTGGTATATGTGCATCCTGTGCGTACTGCATTGATATCACTTCAAGTCGCAAATATCATAAATAGAGATGTACTATAAATGATATTCTTATATATTTTTTTAAATAATTCTTTTTTCGATTACTTATTTAGATGAAAGCTAAACTAAACGGTGAAGTACGTAATTTAACTAGTGACTTAGATTCATTACGTGAAACATTAGAAGAAGAACAATCAGCTAAAGGTGATTTACAACGTCAATTACAAAAATTACAAGGTGAATTACAACAATTACGTTCACGTGGTGGCGGTGGTGGAGATGTTCGTTCTGAAGAAGTTGAAGAATTAAAACGTAAAATGAATGCTAAAATACAAGAATTAGAATCAGAAGCTGAATCAGCAAAATCAAAATGTGGACAATTAGAAAAAACTAAAGCACGTTTACAAGGTGAATTAGAAGATTTAATGGTTGATGTTGAACGTGCTAATGGTTTAGCTAGTCAATTAGAACGTAAACAAAATAATTTCAATCGTACATTAGCTGAATGGCAAAAGAAATATGCTGATTCTCAAGTGAGTTATTATATGAAATTAAATAAAATTGCCAATATTTATTGGTTTCTATCACAAACTGATTCTAAGTAGGCAGTTAGAGGAAAATAACAAACATTTAACAGTTGTTTCTTCTCAGTATGAAACTTATCAGAATTGTATATCGATGATCCTTCAGGATCTCAAACAAAAGGCTTCTAGGTACTTGTCTGACATTTCTAAATAATCACATAGTGCTTAATGTCTAGATTGACAGTTAAACATCTGATTATTTAGGAACTGCTTTCATGAGGCAAACTTGAAAGCGATATTTCAGAAAGCAGAATGATTAATGTTTCATTGAAAGATTTATTAGTAGCATTCCTGACTCAATATATATTTACAATTCTGTTCAATAGATTATATTACCTTATAATATTACAAATAAACAGATTTTGAAGTGATAAGCTTATACTTTATTTGTTGGAGATAAGTTTCAACTGAATTTTGATAAACGATATTGATTGGATCCTGGGTTTAGTCTACGGTAGTCACTAATCGAAATTATTCTAATACAAACAGAATCTGTAATTAACTTAATAAAACGGTAACTAATATACACAACTTTTTGAAGCATTAGTATAAATGAAAAATCGATATTCAACGAAGGCAAAAAGTGACATCTTTGGAATGTTTGATCCCCAGAAATCACTTGGTAAACGTCTCATTTTTGTAATATTGTTTTGGAAATTTGAATTTCTCATTTTCGCGCAAAAAGCACTCACTTTTATCTTCTGTTTATTTTCTTTACTTGGAAGGACCTTGAATGTCATTGGTTCATTTCCTCTTTTAATACACAGTTTTGTGACAGTTTCTAAGGACATTTTGTACTAAGTTTTGTGCTTGTTAGTTCTTGCTTCCAACTGCTAATGGAATATACTTTTTCTTCTGCTGAATCTGGTCTTTTCCCTCTAGTTATCAGGACTGGGCGTAGTTTGTCCTATTGTTGTGTTGCGGACTTTCGTTTCTTTCGCCGGTTTTAGGTGATATCGTTATCTCTTTAAACGTAGCAGACATTGTAGAACAGAAAGTTTAGTCAACCTAAAAGTAATAAAAGACAGATAGAAGATAGAATCGTTCAGGTAGAAATACGAATTCAGAAAAATATCTTCAGGGTTTTTGTTACAAAAAAGAATTAACTGGGAAAAGATAAAACTAGGTAGCCTAGAACCTAGCAAACAATTTTCATTTGAAATAACAGCTCTGAGATGCAGGTATATCCAGCTGACGAGCCTCAAATAGGACGAAACGCGAATTCTAGATTCCACTGGTAGTCGCTATCTATCTTTGTTTAAAATTTTATACTGTTGTAAATTATAGATCGACAACAATTATCTTTTGTGAGAACTCATATTAACTTGAAATTCCTTACAGATTATTATAAATTACAACATAAAAGAAGGTTAGATATCATCAAAAATTGAGACATATGTATATAACTTCTGTTGAAGCTAATACTTAGTATTCAGTCAAATTTAAATGTATACTGTACATTATAGGGTAATCATAATCAATTATAAAACTAGGAAGCATAAAACAAATGTCTTGTCTCAGGTCAATGTTAGATTTGATCATAGACTTACACATTACTGTTATGTCAATTCCCAGGTCAGAATAGCTGTTCAGCAATTCCTGAATTCCAATGATTAATGAGATAAGCCAAATATTTCAACAATCTTCACTACTAATAAAAACCTTTCTATCATAATCATTGTGATATTGTTATTCTGTTATTTATTGTATGATCTTTTTTTCTTTGGTTAACGTAGGCTGAATTAGAAAATGCTCAACGTGATGCACGTGGTCAATCAACAGAAATCTTCCGATTAAAAGCTCAATTAGAAGAAGTACATGAACAAATGGAAGGACTTCGTAGAGAAAATAAGAATTTGAGTGGTATGTTGATTCTTATGTATTGGATAAATAATACTAATTATTGTAGTGATTATTATTATTATCACTATTATTTAAGTATTAATATTATGATTTTAGCATCTCATTTAACAATACATAGAAAGCCCGAGATCATCAATTACGCTGATCTATAAATTTTTGGCTGTAAAGAGTACTGAACAGTTGACTAACCTAAATAGAATGAGAGAGAAAGAAGAAAGACGAATCACACGATGCCCACTCGGTTGTTTAAGTAATAAACGATCCTCACGAGATCACAGAGTCTTGTGTTCGACCCCCGTTTGTGAGGAGGCATGAATCCTAACTGCCGAAGAGCTCCACACGAGGACGAAATAACTGTCAAGTATTTCTCTGTTCCCAGGAGTTTTTTAAATAATGTCAATTCTCTTTATGAACTATGAAACTGAACCATCTTCACGAACCCCTTACATTTATAGAAATTATAGGTGCTGTATTTTCTATGATTTTACTGAATATCATAACTTTTTCTTAGTGTTAACTTATTGTAAGGTACCAGCGTAATTACTGAGTTGTAAGCTTAGTGATTTTTAGTACAATCTAATTTCATTTATGCTATTAACGAAATAATTATCGTTTGATTTAATTACTAATTTCTTTTATAATTAGATGAAATTCATGATTTAACTGAACAGTTGGGTGAAGGTGGACGTTCAGTACATGAAATTGATAAAAATAGACGACGACTTGAAATGGAAAAGGAGGAACTACAAGCTGCATTAGAAGAAGCTGAAAGTGCATTGGAACAAGAAGAAGCTAAGGTTCAACGTGCTCAACTTGAAATGAGTCAAGTAAGTAAAAGAGAATTATTGAGGATAGGCAGTATTCATTTTTTTATGAGATTGTGGAGAAGGTTTGTAGCTGTGGTAGATCATTCTGGTGAACTTTCGTTAGCTGAGTTGTATGTTTTGGTCGTGGAGCTTTCATTGTTCTTCTGAACGAAGTCATGAGCACAAACTTCAGGTAGAAGTGATGTGTTCGAATTTCTCTACATATAACTCACAGCTTTTCCTGTCAACCTCGATCTTGACTGTATCTCTCATTACTTTGATTCTTGGTCCCATGTTCGTCTATGGTATTTCTGATTGGTTGATAGATTGGATCGATTTCAATGTGTTTGTTGATTGCTGATTTACCTGAATGCCAGTCTTCTAAGAATCTTCTGGTACTTTTAGTGTTCTCTTCATCCAAGGTCTAAACATTTTTCCGGTGAAACATTAGTTCCATTAACGCTACTGATATGCATTACTGATGAGATTGATAACTAGCTTTAAACCTGCGTCTAAATAAGGTTTCCTACTGATTACATCCAACGAATGCAACTATATGATATATTAGTCTGTGGTGTCTTCAAGTGTTATGAAAAAGTAGGATACTTTTCTTAAAATCATGAATCGATCAATGTTAAACCACCGTTGAAAACTTAGAAACAATGGACGGCAGTTTCGTCCTTGTATGGAACTTCTCAGTAGTGCACATCCATGGTCTGACACGTAGGACTCTAATCCAGGACCTTCAATCGAACGGTGCTAATGACTAATTTCGATCGATTCATGACATTCTGTAACCATCATCGATTGTTTTCTATGAATAACTGTCTCACACCTGACACAAATACTTTTAAACTAATTACAGTTGGAATGTAATTGTTTATCGTTTGTTCAACTAAATATCATTTTAGGATGAAAACTGCATTCAAATGATATTTTCACATTAAATAATAACTAGAATATAAATGTTTAAAAAGATTATTTTACTTCGCATTGTAATGAGATTACTGTTGAAACTTTGAGCAAAACATTTTTCATAGTCAACATTACTTGCCAGAAATAATATATATTTCTCTGTGTAATTAACGTCGAGTCACAATCTAAGTGTAACGGCTAGTGCTATGAACGAGATCACAGGTGGGGACAACTGATTATATTTTAACTTAAAATTAAAAAGTTATTTGGTGAAATGTAAAAACTGTACATTCAATTCATTAGTTGCAAAATGTCTATCAATTGTCTCAGACTTGATTGTTGCTTCATTTTCGTACCAACTACTCTCTCTGTATTTGTTATCCTCTGCTGTCAGACCATTGTTTTACATGATGAACATTCATAGTTCTGTCTAATTGTAAACACCAGATGTATTCATTAAACATAATAATGATTATTTATAATGCTAAACAGTAGATTGAAGCGACTTAACATTACTAACCTGATACCTATACGTTATGACTAAAGTCGATTCAGTAAACTTTACAGTTACATCTAAATAGTCGTTTTAATGATCCATCCTAATTATAATTATGTATAAATAGAACTGTCAATCTTATTTATGTGTCACTTCGATTATGTAACAGCATGTGGCATTACGTCACAACAATTATTTTAACTAAACCAATGAGAAGTATGCTACACTTTCGTTCTATGTTTAAAGGATAGAACGAAAATAATTGATAGTATTATAATTAAAACGAATGGTGGCTAGCAATGGGATGGGAGACGCATGTTTCGTTTTAATTGGGACTTATCATCTGGATATACCTGCATCCCAGAATTGATGTTCACTCCAGAACTTGAGCCACCATCCATATTTACTTATAATGCTTGTTACCTAAGACAATTCTCGCAGGATATACATATGAAATAAGAGACAGATCAATTGCAGTCCTAAACATCAATCGGAAAATTCAAACAACCAATACAAAAATGAATTAATTGATGACATTGACCTTGATAAATCAAAGCAAAAGCACTATCTGTTAAATTCATTAATGCTAGTAGACGTACTACAAAATTTAGGACCAAGGGATAATGAATGTTGCTGAATAGTCAATAATGTTATACTAGAGTAATTGAAAATATATTTCTCTGGAGATCGTTTGTAGATTATTGTTGAACACATTTTCTGTTATTCACCTTTTTAAGTTTACTGTTCATGAAATTGTCCGATGGTTACATTCGAGATTAATTTCTATTTTGTTTCATGCACATCTTTTAAAATAATATTCCTGAAAAATTTTGGTAAACATGCTGTTCCTATTGATGAGACCCCCCTCCCCTTAGTTTACTTTCTCTAATATCCAATATCATTTTTTAATATTTTGTTATTTGTTTATCAATAAGATTCGTCAAGAAATTGATCGACGATTAGCTGAAAAAGAAGAAGAATTTGAAGCTACACGTAAAAATCATCAACGAGCTATGGAATCACAACAAGCTAGTTTAGAAGCTGAAGCAAAGGGTAAAGCAGAAGCTATGCGTGTTAAAAAGAAACTTGAACAAGATATTAATGAATTAGAAGTTAGTTTAGATGGTGCAAATCGTGCTAGAGCTGAACAAGAGAAAAATGTGAAAAAGTTCCAACAACAAGTACGTGAATTACAATCACAATTAGAAGATGATCAACGTCAACGTGATGATTTACGTGAACAATTCCAAGCTGCTGAACGTCGTGCAACTGTATTAGCTGGTGAATTAGATGAATTACGCATAGCATTAGATCAAGCTGAACGTAGTCGTAAAATAGCTGAAGCTGAACGTGCTGAAGCATCAGATCGAGCGACAGAAATGTCTACACAAACTGCATCATTAGCTGCACAAAAACGTAAACTTGAAGCTGATTTGGCTGCTATGCAAGTAAGACATATTGATTATGTTTATTTTTCTAAAATAAATAATTAAAGAATAACCAACATTAGTGAATAATTATGAACAGATTTTATTTACGTTTGGACTATATTCAACTACTCTTGAGACCTAAAAGTATTAGTAACAATATTTATATTACATTCATTATAGGATTCCTCATCTAAATTAGAATATAAATATTATAAATAGTATATGACTCCTCAGCAATGTACAACCAATGAGTTTTCGTGATTAGTTGAGTTCAGATATGTCAGGAGTGAGACAGATGTCACTCTGAACATTCAGTAGTCGTTATGCTTTATTGAGGATTAACCGAGGGCTGATTAAAAGGATTATATTACTTAAGTTTTCAGCGTGAGATCTGAAGGTACAGGGTTCGACCACGGATAGAATCATAGGTGAGCACTCCTGATACGTTCCAAACTGGGACCAGACAGATGTTCATTGATATCTGGTTTTTAATAATATCCTAAATGAGATCAATTTGTGGCAGATAAAAATTACAAAAATAAACCAGTTTTCACAAAACTCTTGCAACAAAATACTTGATTTAACTGAATTATAAAAATGTTTTAACAGTTGAATACTTGTAGTGTATGCTACTTATGTTAATAGATATAAGTAATGTGTAGCATCAATCTGAAGTTGAATGACTGCGGGCCGAAGATTGTGAAGAATTTAAATGAAGAAGAGAGAAAGGAAAATTAACAGCAATCAAGATAACAACAGAAATGAAAGAATGGTGTAGTTTGCAAGAGATAACTGATGAAAGATATTCAAATGATGTTTTTAATGTTAGATCTCCATAGTTTACGAACGCACTCTGTAATTTTGCATTAACCAGTAAATTGGTCTTCCCCACCTGAGTTCTTTGCTCACTTACATTTTTATATGTAAACTAATACGAAAATTCTGAGTTATCCTTTATTACTTACTCCTCGTGGAGGAGCACAGACAGCTCTCCAGAACCATCCATCCAACCGTATCCTGGGCAATCCTTTCCAGCTCTTCCATCCTTTTCATATCTGCTTTTATTTCCCGACGTATTGTGCTCTTTGGCTTTGCTCTTTACCGCTTCCCTTCAGGATTCTAAGTTAGTGCTTGCCTCGTGATGTAGTTTGATAATTTGCGTAATGTGTGTCCTATGCATTACCATCCTTTATACACTTCATCATTTTTCCAATCCTGATGTTATTCCGATTACTTCTCCCCTTTATTTTAATCTTCTGCTGGTAGGCATTTTACTTCTAATTATTTCTACATACTACTTATGTATGACTTAAGAGAAAACCATTAAGATAAGAAGTGTGGAGAAGAACGAATGAAATGATTTCCATATGAAGAATGAAAATTTTTCAGACTAATAATTAACTCAACATTTATTAGATGATAAGGAATTAGTGCAATTGAATCAAACTGACAAGTAATTTTAGGTCTTATAACACAGCATTTCTAACCATTGATTAAAGCGGCTATTACACGTATTCCATTAAAGAAGGTCGACATGTATAATCACAATTTAGAGATTAACTAACAATAGCTTCATAGATTTACATTATTTGCTTGATCTATCTATCGGTAGCTTTAACCCAAACTATTGTTACGTACCAGCTAGCTTTACATTGTTGGGGATGACGAAATAAAAGACAAGAGACATTATTTCCATCTTATTAACATTAATGACTTCACTTTTATACACTTTAATTATTTCATTAAAATCATGAACCGATCAGTGTTAAACCACCATTGAAAACTTAGAACAGCCGTTTCGTTCTAGTATAGAACTCAAAAATGCGTACCCACGACCATACATGTGAGACTGGAACCCTGAACCTTTGATCTTGGGCACAAATGCTTAATTTATAGATCAGTGTGCTAGCATCTAAGAGTTTTAATGTCTAACTGCAATCAATCCACAGTATATTGTGCGATCATCTTCCATTTTATTCAGTGAGTAACTATACCTCACCCAACCCGGATTACTTCCCCCTCTTTAATTCTCTGATTTTTCACTATTTTGTTGTTGCTATTTTTATTAGGCCGATTTAGAAGAAGCTGCCAATGAAGCTAAACAAGCTGATGAACGAGCTAAAAAAGCTATGGCTGATAGCGCACGTGTATTTGAAGAAATTCGTCAAGAACAAGAACATACACAACATGTTGAAAAAGCTAGAAAACAACTTGAAATACAAGTAAAGGAAATTATTTAATACATTTTATTCATTTTAAAAAATTTTATACTGAACTAAAGGCAGAATAGTTAGTTAGCATAGTTTCGTTCTTGAAAGAATAGAATTTATGCATTCTGTACCGGATTATTTTTGTTTGTGAAAGATTTCTAAACTTTGTCCCATTAGTGAAATTCAAGACCTGTGGTTCATTCAGTTTTGTTTTAAAAAACTTACCATCTGGATATACCTGTATCCTAGTGTTAACGTTCACATTTGAACTCGAACTCAGTAATCTTTTCTTCAAATGTAGTGGACACGAACACCAATGGAGACAATCGAATGTATATGAGCACATAATTACAGAGCATCTCAGTAAAATCTGAGAACCATATAGTAAATCGTTAATTTGCAAAATATCGATCTATCATATCAAACTTGACTGTTCCTGTTGCAAACATCAATCCATTGTCTCAGATTTCATTGTTCATGCGTTTTCATATCAATTGCGTTTCGTTCCCATTCTTTCCTCATCGACCTTCTACTGAAATACATTCTATGCCATACCACACAAACACTAATACATTATTCATTGAGTTACTGAGTTTAGACAAACACTAACGTTTTCAAAGGATATGATGTTTTTTTTCATAGAAGTTTATACTGTTCCATTGTTAATATTTGTGATCTAAATTAATATTTCAATGTAACAGTAATAATAATAATAATTCCAGATTTACTATCATTTAAACTATTCAACTGATTCTTTTTTCTTTAATTAAGGTAAAAGAACTTATGGCTCGTTTGGAAGATAGTGAATCAGGTGCCATGAAAAATGGTCGTAAAGCAATGGGCAAATTAGAACAACGTGTACGTGAATTAGAAACAGAATTGGAAGCAGAACAACGTAGACATGGTGAAACTCAAAAGAATTTAAGAAAAGTTGATCGACGAATGAAAGAGATTAGTTTACAAGTAAGTTAGTTATTTATTGAGAAAAAAAAACATTTTCAGTAAAACAAAAAAGCACTACATATTTATTTACTTTATGAAGATGAAGTGATTTATCATGTCAGTAAAATGAGAATGAAGATAATCTTGATTGAAGAATGACTTGAATTAAATCAAGATATCATTGTGAAGCATTGGATACTAACTGAATAATCTGTTGTTTAAGTTCTATCAACGAGACTTATTTGTTCTAGTTTCGATTCCCAATAATGGGATCGTGAATTTACACACGACTGAGAATTGGTACACTACGACGAAATTACTCATCAATATCTTCAGGTTTTCAATGATTGTCTAACTAAAGTCAATTCATGGTGTAGATGATAGAGAAAAGTGGAATCAAATAGTTGGAAAGATTGTTTCAAATTGAAGATTAAAAAGTATTCATTTAACAATGTATATAATTATGCTTTTTGTATGTTTCTAGGCTGAAGAAGACAAAAAGAGTCATGATCGTATGCAAGAATTAGTTGAGAAACTTCAAGGTAAAATTAAAACGTACAAACGGCAAGTTGAAGAAGCTGAAGAGATTGCTGCTATCAATTTAGCTAAATATCGTAAAATACAACACGAAATTGAAGATGCAGAAGAACGTGCTGATCAAGCAGAACAAGCATTACAAAAACTTCGAGCTAAAAATAGATCATCAGTATCAACAGCACGTGGTGTAAGCGCTGCACCAGCTGGTGGACCAGGACATGCAGTAAGTATTATTTGTTTAAACTATTCCCTACAATCATTGTCTGATGAGTTATTCATCCTAGGTATGGTCGACGGTTTCATCTATTTCTAAAAATCTTATCAGCTATAGATTTAAAAAGTTCAGTTGCCTATGCAACATAGGCGACATCTTTCTGCCAGCGAAGAAATGCTTATACTGCACAGTATTTCGTCCTTCTATACTCTATGATTGAGATATTTGGCTTTTAAAAATATAATATATTCATTTATAGATTAAAAACATTTGACCATAGAAGCCTTCTTCTATGGACGATGTTGTTTAGTTCAGGAGTAGGTTGAAAGAAATCTGGGGATGGTCAAATGAAAAAAATTCATCAGTCCACGAAGTCAATGACTATTAGTTTAAACCATTTAGGTTTAGACTATTTAGTTGAAACCGACACAATACCCGTGATCGGTGGTTGTAAACGTTAGGTGAGACATTTTATTACAGTATTAGCAATTTTTTAAAAAAATGAGATATGATTGTGTGTAGCTGAAGTTTCAATCAAACTGTTTTAACGTAGAAATAAATTCACTTGGTATTGTTTGTTTGAATCTTCCCATTGATGTTTAGGACCAAAACTGATCAGTCTGTTATTGACATATGTGCATACTGTGCGTATTGCTTCGATATAGCCTAAATTCACAAGCATTATATGCATAGATGAATAGTGGCTAGCAGTGGAATTCAGGACGCGCGTTTCGTCAATTACAGTTTTAAACATCAATGGGAAGATTAAAACAAACAATACAATATGAATTTAAAGTTCACCCCATTGCACAAGCAAGTGGTTGTCAGGACTCAATCAATATCTAAGTGCATAACGCGATAGCGTTTGAAGCAAACGGTACTGAGTTCGAGTTCGAGAGTGAACATCAAGTCTGAGATGTAGGTACATTCAACTGACGAGTCCCAAGTAGGATTAAACACGCGTCCTGGATTCCACTGCTAGCCGCTATCCATATAATTTAAGTATATAGATTTAATAAACAAAAAAGCATATGTAGAAGTTGTTCAAGTTTGATGTTTGTCAGCCACCTACCATTATTCACTATAGCACGAAATCAACCAAAGAACTTACTGTTAAAAGTTAGGAAGGAGAAACATAATTGTTTCATCCTATTTCAGGATCATTCAGCGATGATAATCATCACCACTTTGTACTTACTATTTATAGTAACTTAAAAAAGAATTCTTTAAATTAGTCGAACAGCCTATGGTCTATGGAATACTACCATTCTTGAACTTAAACAGATATCATTGTTAATACTGGTTGATTGTCGTTCTATACCTTGAATCAGCAAATTATTACAATAATTTACATAATTAGATACAAATCAAGTGTTTAATTGTTAGTGAACCATATTATATCCGGACACTGAAGTATCTTTGTTGAATTCTGTGTTTGTAGAATCCTAAGTGAGCACTCCCAATGAGGTATTGGGCGAGACTATAATTTATGGACGAACCAATCCGATATAAATTAACAGGTTTCGGATTTTGGCGTGAAATTCACTCATCTATTTGGTTAAATAGAGTTTTGGTATTATAGCTTATATCACTTCGTGATGAAAACCATAAATCTAATTCCTAGCCCTAACCATCAAGTGTAAATCATAATTTTCATTTCTCACCATGGTTTATAACCATCATTTGATCCTAGTTATTAGATGGACCCTCTCAAGGTCATTTTAGCGTCTCTCAAGGGTCGTTCATAAATTATAATCTCACCAGTAGTTCTACGCACAAACTTCTTATATTCATTCACTTGATATCTTCCCATTGTTGCTTAGGACTGTAATTGATCAGTCTCTTGTTCGCACATATGCATCTTATGCGGATCGCCTCAATATTGTCTTAGGTCCCAAGTTTCATGGGGAAAGATGGATGGTTGCTAGCAGTTGAATCGAAAACTCACATTTCGTCCTATATGAGACTCGTCAACTGGATGTACCTGCATCTCAGAGTTGATGCTCACTCTGAAACTCGAACCCAATACTGTCCACTTTAAATACCATCGTATTATCCGCTTAGTTACTGAGTCTTTTTCTTCATATTTTCATTTATCTAATTAATTTAAATAAGTATTATGAATATTATTCCTTGAATTTTTCTTTTATTTTATTTTTTTCTATAAATATTTCTTAACAGAATCGTGCTCGTAAACCAACAGCCAGTTTAGCACCAGAAGAAGAGTAAATCACATAATTAACAATTGAATTGCTATTGACCAGTAATGGACTGTATTCTAAGAAGAATAACATCATTGCAAATGCTTTCTATCAAACTGTTCATTATTATTTTACATTTTTGCAAAACCCTCTAAACCCCAGTTCGTTTACTTTTTCAGCTTCATATTTAGCTTTAGATCAATTGTATTCAGTACATACTTATTTTTTGTGCATTTCACTCTTTCTATATATCTGTATGAGTATATGTGTATGTATGTATGTGTGTGGGCTTTTAGTGAACAACAACTAAAGAATACTAACATGACATTAATAATAATAATGTGTGTTAAAACTGTTTGAAAGGTGAATCAATTACATATATAGATTATAGTAATAGATACATATATACAATCATGTATACCTACCTTTCCCTTGGCTATACACCTGTTGTCTTACCTACCTACCTTCCTTCCTACACCTAAGTTTACCTATACACCTACTTTGTGTCACCTTCAACACTTGAGATCATTATTGAAGGTTGTTTTGAATACTATTCAGCGGTAGTGTGTTTTTTTATATCAAAAAAACATCAGTTTCAGATGAGCTCCTTTTCCCTTTTCAATAAAAACATAAACACCATTCAATTGTGTTTAGGCTCATCCAAAATCCACTTTTTGTTGTTGCTGTTGTTGGTTTTTCGTTGGTTTCGTACAAACATACTAATACACACCAATTTTTGTTTGTAGTTTTGTGTTATTAATTGTTTGCTCATATATATATATAAATAAATAAATAAGTAAATATATATATATATGTAAACAACAGACATCAAATTGTCATTGGTTCTTATCATTTTGGACTATTCTCTCACTGCTAATCTATGGAAATAAACAACTAATGCACAGAATCCACCAAGTTCCATACAAACACACACACACACAAACATATATATATATGCACATTTATCTATAAACACTTACATTCATGCAGAACATGATACTGAGTCTCATTAAAAAGAAAAGAAACGAAAAGAAAACCCAGTAATCATATATGCCATCTCTTTATTTGTCTATCTAGACTTTCTTATCAATAATTATGCACCATATGCGTTAAGTATCAATTCGAAAAATTAAAAAAAATGTCTATGATCTACATTTGCCAACTGATCTTATTACATTTATTACAATAATTAGTGACATACATATACAAGTACCGTTTTCTTTTACTTTTCCTTGTTTTGGTTTGTTTTCTATTTTAAATCTCTTTGCATTTTTTTTTTCAATCTCTGTACTTTTCTTTACATTATGAATGATATAAAAATGATTGTAGTGTAAGTGGAAGTACTATGTTGCTCTCTATTTCTTATATATATACACACACACACTATGTTTCTATGTATTCATTAAAAGTAATATTGTTTATTCACTGAAATTCTTCTCATCTTACCTATTATTATCATTATTATTAATATTACGATTATTATTATTATTATTATTGATAATAATAATTTATTATTACCTAGTTTACAAGTCTACTTACATTGGAATACAAAAAGTAATTTCATCTCCCTTGAGAATGCTAATAATTGAAATGAGTAATAAATTCACTTACTCTATATGTTTGTTGAATAGTCTTTGACTTTTTGTTATTTGGTTATGTAAATACAAGTGGGAATAATTGTTTACACAGCGTGGCAATACTGTGACCCCCTAGTAGATAATAATATGTGTTCATAATGAGAGAAGGCTTTTTGTGGATATTATAGTAATTAATATAATACTCACGAAAACACTTTTTTACTTATAATCATTATATTCTCACTAGTGACGGTCTTCAAGAGGTATTTCCTGGAGTTCTAATGAGAAGCCGTGACCAGTAGATTTCAACCGGATCTGTTATAAGATAGCAACTCACTCATAACAATGGTGGGTGTGTCGCTTAATTTCGTGGATTAGTTGAAGTTAGACATTAACACCGTTACATACCAGCTCAGTGGTCTAGTGGTTAAGTACTCGCGCGCGAGACTGATAAGTCCTCGGTTCGAATAACACGAGGCGGGACAGTTGATGCGCACTACTGAGGAGTCCCTTACTGAAACGAAACAGCCATCCAGGTTTTCCATGGTGGCCTAGCTTTAATTAACCCATGAATTCAATTATTAAATATTATGTGTGTTTGTTGATTACCTGTGCGATTATTGTATAGTGTTTGACACTGAATTAAAAAATGATCTGTTAATCTCTAGTTTAAAGATGAAGCTAAGTAATTCTTTAAACTACCGTATTTCCGAACCATAACCATTAAGCAACGGAAATAAATGTGGGTCATTTGATGTTTTTTGGCAGATAATCAAACTGATAATTGTGCTCAGTAAACCTATTTCTCAACATCTTTCAGAAGATAGAATCTTTTGACAACTGGCTGAATATTTAATTAAACTAATGAAACTATAAATGCTTGATCAAAAATGTATATGAAAGTTAATGGTGATCAACTTGACCCAAAACTGATGTACAAGGGTTGATCACCGTTAGGAAACTTTAGAAAAAGTTTGCTTATTCGTAAGTGCTAGAATCTTGCCATTGTTGATATTGAGAACTGAAATTTGATAAATCTTTTTTTGTAGATGTGCATCGTCATCTAATTGCCTCAATACATCCACCTTATTATAAGCTTAATAGGGAATAGATAATATGTGGTCACCAGTAAAATTTAGGATACGTGTTTCGTTATATTTAGGACTTGTCAGCTGGATGTACATTCCACATTCCAATGTTGATCTTCACACCGAAACTTAGACCCAGTACCTTTTCCTTCCAATACACAACATGTTATCCACCGAGCTACTGATTCCATGTAGCCATTAGCTTATTCATATACACTAATATACAGGTACATCCAGCTGACGAATCTCAAATAGGAATGGAACTCACGAAATGGATCTCACTGCTAGTCACTCCTGATCTTTAGTTGAATATTAAAATAAATACGAGAGATGAAACTAAGAGTTTGACAGTTATCATTATCTGCTTATTTAACAGGTTGCATCACGTAACTTGATTCCTTTTTTAAATAAAATACTTGATCACCATATCAGATAGATAGATGTATTCCATTGGAAGCACGACGAGTATGTTTCATGTAAGTCAACACTAATCAACAAAACACCTACATCATTGAGGATGATATTGTTTACGGAATAGGATTTGAATAATTAAGTGGTAACTTCTTTGGCTAGGATACAAGAGAACACAGATTTAGAGTTCATAAATTAGATCAGCTCTCTGATAAGCTAATACACTACTATCGAACATATTAGTAATGGAACAGCATTTGATAGTCATATAAAGTGGATAGCTGCTTTCTTCTTAATTACAAGTTATGGTATGTAGTGGACGAGAACTCAGTTCGGAACAACCAAATATATTTGAACACAAAATTACAGAATGATAAACATACAGTAAATTCTTCATTTGCAAAATGTCATTCATTTGTCTCAGACTTGATTGTTCCTTCGTTTCCATACCAATCAATTTCTGTTCTCTTTCCTTCGATCTTCTTAACCTGCTACTGAGAGACATTTCACTTTCGATTGATGACACACACTACTTATATTTATCGATATCAGTAGCACACACCACAGTATGAACAATCACTTTCAACCTAAATGAAAATATTAGTTTACACAAATATTAAACAAAAATTTGTTTTGTCTTTAACCTACTTAACCGGACATTATTTTTTGTGTATTTTTCTTAAAATACAACCACAAGTAATGCTATTCATACGACTCAGTATAACACTGAATATTAAAGGATAGAAGTCGTATTTGTTGTCAGTCTGTGAATTCTTACAAACTACTCTGACGCATTTGTCTACATTATACTTAATCAATTTTGATAACTCTGAATCTAAAAGACAAAACAAAACTGATAGATTTAATTCAGTAAGCTACAGTTTTTGAGCATTCTCAGTTGTGTGTATTGCAACAACTGAAAAAGCATGCTTTTACTAGATACTTATTTTTATTAAAATTATAAATCATTCTAAGCTAGATCACTGTTGAAAGCCTGGAAGCAGTATACGGTCGTTTCGTTCCAGTATGAGACTCTTCAAAATACATTTATTATTAAACTTGAAAGAAAATGAAAGTGTTTATTTCTTTACTCTATCAGAGCTAATTTTATAAATTTACGTAAGTTATTGTACCTTGAAACGCCGACAACTTGGTTTCAGTGACTAAGCATTTACTACTGATGGACATGAATTTCCTCAGCTTGATCCTAAGTGGAGTCATGAATACGGACTGCTAGTAAATACCATACAAAAAAGAAATAATTGTTCAATCTTCTTTGGTTTCCAATTCTATCTCAACTGATATCAACATGTAAAGAACACAGTTTACAAAATAATTTATTTCCTATCACTACTCAATAGATTTCATATCCAGTCATTCAAGAAACACCTATCTAATAGAAAATTAATGATATATTTATTACTTACTTACTTACTTACTTACTCCTTGCTCCTAACCAATGGTTGGAGACTGTGGGTGATATAACTCAGAATCGATCACAATGGCGTAGGTGTATACACTCTCTGTCTTCCCTTAAACTATGAGAATAAAACTGCTTAATTTCTTTCTTCCTACGAACTAATTCTTCCTTCCTGTACTATATAAATATCCTTATATACAATCTTCCTTTTATATATTATCACCATTGAATTAACTACTTCTATGAATCCGGTGTTCACATTGATGTGCTAATGAGTTATGGCAACTTAAACCGATGCATATATGTGCCTGACCGTACATTGTATCTGACTGACTGACTCCTGCTACATTCATGGAGGAGCATAGGCCACTCACCAGCGTTGTCCATCTAACTCTATCTTGTACAATCTTTTCCAACTACCATTGATCCTTTTCATGTCTGCTTCCAATTCCCAACATATTGTTTACTTTGTCCTACCTCTTTTTCGTTTCCCTTCAGAATTCCATATTAGTGCTTGCCTCATGATGATGATGATGATGATTTAGATAATGATGATTTGGATGATGATGATTATTTGGATGATGATAATACATCAATACCCATTACATGTAACTGCATTTTTCTCGTGCAATAAATACTATTCGTGTAATTAATCATAATTCTAGACAAAATCAATTAATAGCACACACATTCACACACACATGCACAAAAAGGTTCAATTTAATCAATAATGACTATAACTCATATTGAATGAGACAAAATATTCAATAAAAAAACCATTACGTACTCATCAATCAATCAATCAATCAGTCAATATCTATACATAATAAACTGATTATTAATAATAATGTAAATAGAATTACACTATTCTACAAAATCATAATCATTGTGTAATAATAATTGATAATCTGTGTTAAATCTTGCGATCAAAACTTGTTGATTATTAATTAATTGATTAACATTGAAATTAGATCTAGACACTTGAATATCTAATCAAATACAATGTCTTCTAGAAGGAATCCCCTTCTAGAAGGTAATGTTATCAGGGATGATAATAATAATAATAATAATAGTAAATATTTACAAAATAATGAAATAGAATATGAAATGTATCATTTAACAAACAATTTATTCATTATATTATTAAGTGTATTATTTATTATTATAATATTATTATTACTTATTTATATTGTATATCGTCGATATCGATATCATTCACAATATTTTAATAATCCATTAAAAATCAATAAGAATAAGAACAATAATAATAATGATGATGAATATATTTGTTTTACAAAATCAGATCAAACTCCATTTAATCGATATACACAAATTCAAACACCAGAATTATCATTGAAATCAATGAATATACCATTAAAATCATGTAATAAATTCAATGATCCATTTACTTATTATGCTAATGATAATGATGATCACAATGATCATGATCATAATTATCATTATCATGATGATGATGATGATGAGAATGATGATTTTTATCGTGAATTTAATGAATCTAAACCAATTTATAATTATACAGAACATTATCAAACTAATTATATTAAATCAAATGTAATACAATCTACTCAACAATATATTGAAGTAAGTTAACCTTATTACATTTGAAATTAATGATGAGACTATAATGTATGGATAAACCAAATAAGATAATATGTTTTGGATTTTAGCGCGATATTCATTCATCCATTTGATTAAACAGCATTTAAGGATTTTAGTTGATGTTAGTTTGTGATGAAAACCCTTAAATCTAATTCCTAACTCTAACCATCAATTGTAAATCCCAATTCTTATTCTTCACACAGATTTATAACTCTCATTTAGCTCTAGTAAGTAGGTGAACATTCTCAAGGCCACATTAACGCTACTTAAAGGTCGTCTATAAATTATAGTCTCATGGAAATAATTAATTTTCATATATCATATAGTGGAAAATATTATTAAGAGGGAGAGGGAAGTGTCAAGTTTTAATTATGGAAAATTAGAGGACATACGTTTCGTCCAATTTGGGACTCATAACCTGGACGTACCTGCAACTCAGAATTCATGATCACTCTGGGACTCTAACTCAGTACTGTTTGCTTTAAAAGCCATCATGTTATCCACTTAACTACTAAGTCCTGATAGTTACATGCTTTTGCCATTCAGTGAAGTCTCTATTCACTTGATATTATTTACCTAAATCTTCCAATTGAGGTTTAGGACTGAAATTTGTGTTTGAAAATACTGATTATAAAATTTAAAATTATGTTTTTGTGATGACATGAAATTATTCTG